TAACCAATGTCCTCCCACACAATATTTCTGATTCATAATGTAAATATGGTAATGCCCTATCAATATAATCAGTTTTTCAAATATAATGCCCTACCAATATACTTGGTTTTTATGATTTCTAGTTTTTTGTGGGCTTTGGAATAAAGTTGGGGAAATGTTTTTTGTATCTTAGCCTCATTCTTGGAGTCCCGCAGCTGGCGGGGACTGGAGCAACAGCTGGGCCAAACAGAAGTAAAGAAAGCTATTGTGGGACGACGGGGAATTGCCATTGCCTATGAAGATGAGCCTTGTGGATGACCAATCCGGAATATAAAAGACATTGGCCAGATAACAAACTGCATTCTTTGCTGGATTTGGATGGGTTAATGGAACATGGGTCTTTTTGAACTGGTTGACAATCTTATTTGTACAGGGCATAAGTGGGCTAAATTTCTTGCAGTATGTTGGTGGACAGCTCAACAGATTAAGTAGAGTGCTATATTATTTTAACAGGAATAATTTTTTTAAAAAAAAGAGTGTTGATCTCTGCTGAAAAAGTGTGTTGAAGTTGTTTATTCAATGATGAGATAAATGTTAATCCACACTAGTGGCCAATGTATAAATATCCACGTTGTTTAAACTAATCCTCAGTTGTAATTTCTGTTGACTAGAGTTAGACTATACTGAACAGTAGGGTGAGCATTATTGATCACAAGCTGAAGTCAGCAGTGACGTAATTGCTAAAAAAGAAAACGAAACAAAAACACCTAATGTAATTCTCAGACTGAATTAATAGAAGCATAGTCTCCAAGTAACAAGTAGCCATAGTTCCATTTTATTCCAAAGCACTGTGTCCTTTTCTGGAGATCACACTTAAATATGTTGACAAAGAGAAATTAGCTAAAAGGGTCACAAGAATGAATATACTGTATAAAAAATATTCTATAAAGGTTGAAGGAACCGCATTGCATGGGTCTCTTTAATGGATAACAGAAATGCTATGCTTATGTAAGGTTTTAAGTATTTCTTCCAAATCATCTTTGAAGCATGCATAACCCTAATCTTGATCTTTGTAACCCCCAAGGAACCAAATTAAAGTTCTTTACAGAAGAATAAATGTTGGGCAAATATTAAAGATCATTGATCATTGAGTCTAGAAGAGCAGATTAACAATAGAATTATCTAGATGGATGGTGGACTACTTGTTATTGGAAATCTCAAATTTAAATCTTACAGACTTTAATTGGTCTGAATGCAACAAAACTATTGCCAAGCCCCAGCTTTCTTCATCCAACTGGAATGCTTCTGTTCAGGCATCTAGGTAGCCATTTCTTCCTCTAGGATTTTCACCTCCTTCCATTTTCTTTTTCAACTAATGTTCAGTTTAATGATGCTCAGTCTTCATTGGATATTGAAATGGTTGCCTGTAGGAAACTTACAGAGGGATTTGAAAATCATAAGCATGCCAAACTATCTCTTATTTTTAATAGCCCTGTTTTGGCCATAATTGTACTGGCACACAAAAGTTTTCTATTAAACGGAGCAATTGTGTTTATGCATAAATGTTCCTTCATAAGGAAACATGAAATTACACAAGCACCAGTACACATGCACTTTTGTCATCCAGCACATGGATTTTTCTACTTCTTTTCACAAATAAAATTGTTTCTCTATTACATCCTTAATGTGAAGTCAAACCAATTAGCTTCCACAAGATGGCATGAAGTCAATTCAAGTTACATTGATGTATTCCCATTATGCAAGGTATCTCAAAACTTTTGAGGTCAGTAGGCATATTTGAAATTTACAGTCAGACACTCCAAAAATGTCCACTGTAGTAAATCTGGAAAGTCACAAAATACCCACTTCCTAGGGAGCCAAACTGAAGTTCCTTCGTCACCACTACTTCAGCTTATTTTTCTCCTTTGGTTTTGATCAGGTAGGCATTCTTCCAAACAAAGTGCAGGCAAATAATCCAGAATGCCTCTCAGAGATGTCTTGCTTGATGGAAGTATGTCCCTTTACCTCGAGTTGGTGAAGCATCTCATGGAGCTTTGTTGTTCTGACTTGATGAAGACTCCAGATATGATCTCAACTGATTTTACTAAGGTTGCTATTGTATTTCTGCTGTGCAGAGCCTGTTATTACTGAATGAAGCTTCAAAAGACTGTTTCCATTAAAATCTTCAGAAAGCAAAACACTTTCTAAATATTGTATAACCTTATAGCCATTGTGGATTCTGAAGTCTACATGAGGCCAAGAGGCACTATTGGAAATCTAGATTGTACTTGAGACTGATGTTTTGTTTAATGGCATATTAGGACTTCATTTTTAAAATTGGGAGAAAAAACCAGGCAGAGAAGGAAGTTTGGCAAGCACCAAGAGAGGTATCCACCAGGCCATTAGCACTAAAGAAGAATCATCCTGAGCAGAAGCATTACTTTGCCATCAGTGTTTCATAAGATTCTGTGTCTACTATGCCACTTTCTGTATCTGAACACGAGTGTCATTGAAGTGGGGAGGCAATATTGAAGAATGCTAATGCGCAATAACAGTTATTTGGTGTAAGGGACTCTTAGAGAAGTAATACAGCAGAGTTTTTCAGCAGAAAAAACAGTGTAAATTATAGAATTACAAACTGGTATAAAATATTCCAAGAAAATAAATTCCAGGGAAACAAGATAGAAATACTTTTGGTACATGGCAAAGAAATACAAGAAATTTGCCTACTTTTGCTGGAAGTGATTCACTATTACTAAACTTTAGCCACATGGATCTATTCTCTTAACAGATTTTTGCTCATTTCTTACAGTTGGAGGATGGAACATTTCTAGTGTACAGATCAACTGCCTTCAGAAGAATCCTAGCAAACTCGTATAATTTCATGATAACTCACCTAGTACCCAGCTGTGGCTATTTCTTCTAGACTGTTTTGTTGGAGTGATTGGTGATACTCTTATGTAGACAGGCCTTGGAAATAACCATATAAGCTATTTTTCATGATTACCCATTGTGAAAATGGGAGATACAAAATGATGACACCACCTCCTCTAAACCTCTCACATGGTCTAGAAGGTAAGGCAAAATACTAATCAAATAGAATAGCTTAAGGCTGGTTCTGTTCAAGGTAGATTTCAATGTGTGTTCTGTGCTTCTCAATTTTTCAGGCACCTGTTCAATGTCTCATGTTCATCTAGGATCATAAAATTTCTTTATGTTGTAGTCTGAAAGGCTGACATAGATAAGAAAGCAACAATGCTGAACAACCAGGTAGGCTATAGTCTATAAACCCCACCACAAGGCACACAGTATAGCTGTTGTGAAGCTAAGTTTGGATATGGAAATGTAATTCATCATTTGTTCACCAAGTCTTCTTCCTCAAAAATCTTTTTTTTCTCCATGTTTAGAAATGAATCATTCTTTGTAGTATATTACTTATCTATAGTCATGCCATGCCAGAGGGAGAAAAAAAAGACCACAAGGATTCATTCTTCCTCCCCTTGAAAGCAGAAATTACTTGCAGAGAGTTTGTACTTTGCTTTCAAGACTCAGAGTAAAAACATCTGATTACATTAGAACAATTCTTTCACTGAAGAACTGTAATAGAAGTTAGAACGTCCTATGTCCTATTTTCAAGATATGATGTAGAAGAATGTATTAGAGAACAATCCTTTTTTAAAGAAGTGGGGAGGGAATTAAATAGTATGATTCCTCACTTCCAAAGTCCTGTTACCTCAAATGCAACCAAGAGAGGAAGTGGTTTCCCTGCTGCACACATTTTTGCTCTAATGAACCATTTTAAAGATGAATGGTTCCAATAGGCAGAAAAATACTTCCATTGGTTAGAGGAAGAACTTTGGGTTAGAGGAGTCCAAGATTAGTCAGATACCACCAAAACACTGTAATTTAGCTCCTGTCAGTAATAAAAAGATTCTCCTAAAAATTATGGTCTTTCCACAAGTGTGATTTCTGTTCCAGAATGAGTTCTTCAATCTCCCCCTACTTCACAGCATAGTTGGTATATCATGGTGTGTAGAATTACTCTGTTACCATGCTTATTTTATATAAGAACTTAGATATTCAATTAATTTCCTTTTACATTATCCCAGAATAGCTTTTCTTTCCCAAAACATGTGCTTCTTGTGCTTTTATGCAGAAACTTCTGCCAAGTCTACATAAATTCCTTGTACTTCTCTCACTGATATTCAGATATTGTTCTTTAGGTAATAGGTGATAAATGTTTTTAAGTTTCATTAATGGAGCAAAGATAATTTCGTGTGAATTAACTTCAACCTACCCAGTCCTGGGCAAAGGAAAAGGGTCAGCAGCAAACCTGAGTTAGGAGTCTGTAGGAAATCTGGTTAAACTACTCCTATAGAAGAGTTGTTGCATTAATATATTGCCACTGAAAAAGGTCTAGGTTGTAAAGAGGCTTTTAGCTTATTAATGAATCCCCAATCTTTATGTTGTCAAGAATTTCCTGTGTGACAAAAATGCTTCTGTCTTCATTCCAGCTTTACCAAACTCTTTGTCACAACCCAGATCCATTGTCAGCAGCAGAGATAACGCAAAGGGTTTTCAAACCATTCATGAAGGCAGCTGCAACTCTTTCTTTGCAGCAGATCTAGACACTCACATTCACATATTCATATCTCTGAAGAGACTAATGTAATATAAGAAGATGCTCTGCAGAATGTGCAGAGGTAGCAGCAGCAGCAGGAACTTTTCAAGAGGTAATGTAGCATATTTGCCAGCATTCCGAGGAATGTCACAGCCCCAAAAAAGATGGTGTTGCCTCTTCGTGATACCTTGTTGGACTCTTAGTATTATTTATTGCACCAATCAGGCTAGGGCAGATCATATTCTTGTAACTGCCTCTGCTACAGCTGAACTCCATCCCTGCCCATATTGCCCCTAAAGTATGCCGCTTCCCCAGTAGACCAACCACAGGAGCTTAGAAGTAGCCTTAATGTAATTCAAGGCAGGAGGACCTTCACTTCAATCAGACACAAGCTTCCTCATGCAAGTAAAAGGTAGACTCTTTAGAAATAGACAATATCACAGACACTTCTACAGGAGCGTGCCAAGGGGGAAAAGTGGCAATTGGTACACTAGTCCTATGGTTGGCAGGGGACTGTCCAGCTCTGCTCCAACCTCTGCTCGAAGTCCTTGAGCCTGTTAGCTCTGAATATGCAGAAGGGATTTGGAAGCAGCTTGTTCTTGAGAGGAGCAACCAGGGTAGGTTAATTGTAAAGTTATCATTCTATCAGCTGATTTGGTAGCAGCTTCAGGCGATGGCATAAAACCGGATCTGTTCATGCTGCAGTCTTCTGCCACACCAATCTCCTCAGTAGTCTGCTGTGTATTCAGTACCATGCAGTCCTCGACAAAGTAATGTGAACTCCTTTACCATCTCCTTCACACGTCGTTTGTTCACACGTTCTCTGCTAAGACAAAGGAGGGATGATGGAAGATCAACATGGAATACTAAAAGGTGATAGACTGTAAAAAGTTCAGGACTTGCCAATAAAGAATCAACACACGGAGCAGTCCATTTAGACACGCTCCAAACAGTTATTCTTGTTGCCCTACTCACTGGAACTTTTTAAATTTACAAATGTGGACTAAAAAGTGTCGAGAAAAATTGTATGTGCTAGTCTATTCCACTGATTTATCATGTGTGCTGGCTTCTATTCTTTCAATTCCAGACCCAAACAGACATAGAGTAGGGAGATCTTGAAGCAAGTTCTATTTGAAAGATCTGGGTCGGTCACCAGGACCAGAGATTTAGTCTTCTGAGCTTTTGGACTCATGTTGGAACCCATCCTCAGGGAACGTCTTTCTACCAGAATGTGCACATTCCAGTAAATAGAAGTTCCCTGCGGATGGGCTCCAGCACGAATCCAAAGCTCAGAAGACTAAACCTTTGGTCCTGGTGACCGAATTAGATTGGATCTTGCAACATTATCCTGGGACACATATATTTGCCTTCATTCACAAGTTTTATATGCATTCATATAAGTGCAAATAATATTTGTAGCCACAGATCCTGATAAAGCAGAATCTATAATGTCTGACAAATATTTATATTCAAGCAAAGGCATACATAATGTCTTTCAGAGTTCTCTTCTTAAGTGGGTAGAATCAAAGAGACAGTAAAAAGGGCCAACATATGGAACCCCAATCTCCTATAGCCTTCCAGCAAATACTTGAGGGAACATCTCCTTCTACCAAGCAGCAATGAAAATTAGACTGAAGAATTGAAGCCTTCTGCTCTTGGACACAAAATATTATCAGCAAGCTCTGTTAAAATGCAAGCCACCGTTCTAATGATGTCATCTGGCTCCAGAGCAGTCACATTTGCAGGGATATTGTGTAACGTATAAACAGGAACACTTATGCTGGATCACTTCAAAGGGGTTTGTCTGATCTTAGCTAACCAGTAGCTTTTCACTTTGGAAAATTGGTTGGATACACCAAAGATGATGATGATGATGATGATGATGATGATCATCATCATCATCATCATCATCATCATCATCATCATCATCATCCAGTAGCTGACAAATTACTGGAAGAAAAACCCAAAAAGTGAAAAATCTGGACTAGGGATGAAAAAATCTCTATTATGGAAGCTTACTATCAGTCTAAGCCAGCAAAACGTGGATTTCAAAGTTGTCCCGATTGTAATTGGAGCCCTTGGAGCAATACCCAAAGGGCTACTTCGCTATTTAGACATTCTAAATTTACCGGACTTGAACATTTTGACTCTACATAAAACCACTTTACTAGGAAAAGCTTACATCCTCCGACGATACCTTAACAGTTCCTATGTCCTTGGTTAGGACTCGAGCTGCTGAGTTATTAATCAGCCTCAAAGGCTGTGAATCACACGAAAGATTAACCAATAATAATAATAATAAATAATAGGCACTCCAGCTGGTTTGCCTACAAGTGCAGCACCATGCTATAGAAGACAGAAAAAGGAGAAAATATACTTTCTGTGTACCATTTTTTCTATTGAACTCTATACAAATAACTTGTACATATTTAATATACTTAATTAATATACTATAATTTATTTCTTTTATAAAATACTAATTAAATGAATTATTCTTCAGAGATTTAGCTGTATAGGGCTAATTAAGACTTTTACCATCTGCACTTCAATTGAACAATTAACTAAAAGAAAAATTAGGAATTTAGAACTAAGCACTTGATACACTACATGGAATAATATTTATAGAGTTTATTCAGTTTAATTATTCCACAATTCTGTCTCTCTGAAAATATGCCGAGAAGAAACTCACCTGAGAATTTGTTGGCTGAAAATGTCCTTTTGCTCAGGGCTGACACGGGTCGATGGGAAGCCATCCTGCTGCATCACTTCCTTGATCCACACACTCAGGTAACTGAAGCAATGCTTGTTGAGAGCAAAAAGAATCTCAGCAAAATGATCCATTAAATTTCGTGAAGCTTGGCCACCTATACCCTGCAAAGATGGAGCACATCCAGTCAAATCTTGTAAACTGTACTGCAGGGCGAACTTTACATTATGTCTTATGAAGATGCCAGTAGATTATACCAAGGGCCAGGTTGAGTGCTTCAGAATATTTAAGGCCCCAGCCTTAAACAGATTCCAATCCTATGCACACATACTTGGAAAATAAGCTCCACTTTAATGGAATTTATGTGAATGTAAACATGGACAGAAACATGCTGCAGAGAGTCCTGTAAATATTCTGATAACAAGGAAACTGAATTAATAAAACAAATTGGAGTAAATTCAGCCTATGTGTGAGCAGAGCGCTTCCCAATTATCCTTTTTCACTGATCCCAGATTATGAAAGACACGCTGCTTACCTCAATTACAGCTTGTAATAGCATTTTGCCATTCTCATGTACCACTTGTCCCACAGGTGCAATCTCCCCACAGCGTGGCAGCAATTCAGTCTATAACAAGTGGGAGAAAAGGTCTAAGTGGACAAAATATCAAGAACTTTTGATCAAAATGTCAAGAACACAATTTTCAAACTGGAAATATCCTGCTCCTGTAGACAGAATTTAAATAAATATTAAATTCTGGGGAGATTGTCATTTTATTTCCAAGTCTTAATACAAACATTAAGTACATAAAAAGAGGTATCCCCAAGAAGTAATAATGAAAGTGAGCCCTTTCATTCAGTCTGGGAGAGGCTCTCACGCATCGGTTTGGGTGTTTTGTTAGTCTGTCCCAGAAAGCTTTTCATATTAAGATTCTATGATATCACTAGCTAATGACAGATCTACTCTACCAAAGACAAATACTCACAAAAAAGCCACAGGCAGCTTTGACAGTTGGTGATTCAGGAAACTTCAGAGAGATCACAGCTAGAAGGAAGCAATAATTTGGTATTCAGCATGTGTAATTACAGGTTTTTTTGGCGAGTTGAAAAAAAAAGTAAGCTTTCCTTCCTAAAATCTCTCTACAATGGGTTTTGTTTAATTTTGCGGACATTTCCATATCAAGAACTTTTCTCCACAACTTGTAAGGGTTGTTACCCATTTGTCTAAGTCATTTCCCACAGTGATTTTAAAGCTATTCAGTCTATGGCACTTGTCTACTCACCACAATGGAATACTGCTTTGACATCCAGGCTGCTACACAGGAACAAATCAGGTTTCCGTTTGAGTGCCTGCAAGGTACACATATATACACAGACAATAAACACAGCTCTGGCAAGCCTTGGACAAGCAATTGCCGCACAGGAACCCTTGGCAAAGGCTTGCATGTGCAACTTACCTGGCCATCAGCTATAAAACACAGTAAGCCAGGTATGGGAAAAAGGGAAATGATTATAAGATGAATGTGTCTTTACAATTCAAGAGCATAGGGGTCCAGGTAAGGAGGAGCCTCTGAAGAAACATGAAATTGAATTATTATCTGGAAAACAGCTTCCTAGTATTCCTAATTTGTTACAAATAATGCTATACCCCAGGTATAGGAATTCCACTCTAGAGTATCAGAATAAGGATTAATTGGATACTTAGCCTTCAAGTTTACTTTTTTATATCTACATCTGCCTAGAAACATATTACAATACCACATAAAGTAGAAACAATAACAATACATACTTAGTCTATCAGCAGTATGGATTGCAATTCCCAGTTCCTATACTTTTGTTCTGAAGTATGAGTTATCACGACATTCCTAAGCACAAAGCTTTAGCCAAACAGCAAATTCTGTATCGTCTAATCAAATTTTACACAACTGAAGTATAGTGATCACTAAAATATTACAAATAGTAGGTCTCTTCTATGATGCAGAGCAACTGGATTTTCAAGATACCTTTAACAGCAACAAATCTTTCAGCACCATGGACAACAGCTCCAACTCCTGTGCCTGATTAACTATGGCATTTCTGTGTACTCTGTTCTATTTACAAAGGATCCCTGTTGTCTAACCACATTATTACACATGTTTTCTATTATTAAAATACAAATATTGTTACATAATGAGTAGGAATTGGATTTTCTAAGAATATTTTTAACTGCAATAACTCATTTCTATATCTTTGTGTTCTATTTTCCTTGCTCTCTTTGTTTCACTTACAAACAAAAGCAATCAGATTAGTTGTGTTCCTTTTCCTGATGAAAGATACAAACTATATTTTACTTTCATTTGTTTTAAGACTACTGTTTTAACCTTGTTGGAGTTAATTTATAGACTTTATATCATTTTTATATTGCTAAAACTATCTTAAATGTTTTATTAATTTCAATAGTATATTTTGCCATTATTTTACCAGAAAAAGTCTATTTTCTTGCCATATTCACACAACTTTTGATTTAGATAAGTATCTTACAGTGACCTTAAATGAAAAGCAAGTATGTTGAATCATATTTGGCCCTTACAATATAGAAAGCAAAGAGAATTGTGGTGTAATTATATTCTAAGAGAGTTGGAATATAGCTGCTGTAGTTCAGAGCAGCGTGGTAGTCTAGAGATGGAGGTCTTGTGAGATGTGCGTTTGATCCTAGGTAGCGGCAGATATTTCTCTCTCTGGGGGCAAAGAGAAAATATCTGCCATGAGCTTCACATAGGCATCAGGAAGAGCATCCAACCAGTAAATGCACAGTTCCATTCAGTCACCCTGATTCCACTCCGATGCAAGGGATTACAAGATTGTTTAAAAAAAACAGTATTCTAGTTCAGGTGCTTGGGGAGGTAATAAAATTGGTTCATCAATCTCTTTATTCTAGACAATTCTGCTAGGTGTAAGCATCTCAATCTCCCAATAATGGCTTCTAATGAAATTCACACCAGAAATTTCACTGCAAATAGATCAAATATTCTCCTGGGCTAGTAAGGCAATCTACCCAGGACATTTTTTAACTTTGTGACTTAAGACAACATGCTTGAAAAGGGGCCACTAATAATGTAGTGTAAAAAACAGCATCTGTTAAGTTAGGTGTTTTGTCCATAAACAGACTATAAAAAGTGTAAGCAGAGTTTAACAGTATATTATAACAGTATATTCTTGCCTTTTAAGAGAGTCATCAAATTCCAGGAAATGCTTTTTTAAATTAAACCATTCTTAAAAATCTCATCTATAATCCAAAAACATAGATGATTAATACTGATTCAGAATTTTCTATAATATACTTAGATTGATAATAAATACATAAATAAAATAAGCAACACTTTTTTTCATATTTCTCCAGTATGTTTCATTTACATCACCAATTGAAGCCCTGCTTCATGTGATGCAAATATAAAACATAGGTCATTCCTAGATATCTGCAGTGTTCTTTCATTTATGTCATATATCCTTTGGTGTTTTCACTGGGCAATTGGCCAGATTCCATTGATACATTTAAGTTTGTGATCCAAACAATTTTTATCAAAGTGCTTGGAAGATGGAGATTTTTTATCTACTGCCTAGTAAATGTATTTTATTTATTGTCCTTTTGAACTAACATGTAGATCTGCCAGATCAGAAGACAAAACATGAAGTTAATAAGTTACTTGCTTTGTTTTCTTCAAGAAATTATCATAAAAAGTGTATGGAGAGTTACAGGAATGTATGTTGTCTCATGTTGCACTAAATGAGAATCTGGTCTCACATTCATTTCTACTATAACATAAAATTATTGGAACAAAATTGAAATATTGCTTTTGTTTGTATGCAGAAATGAAGTTTTGCAAGCAAACACAGGCATCTCATGAGACTTTAATTTGGTTTCTTCAAGGGCACAATCAAAACCAACTATGCAGACATAAAAAGAATCTATTCTACATGCATTTTTAAAGGATTCTTGAAGAATCCTGATATGCTGTTTAATAACTTCCCAATCTTTGAAGGAATCTGGTTTTTTTTTTTTGGTTAGAATCATACTGATGTCTTACGACTTATTCAAAATGAAATGTCTATTCTGCAGATTGATTGATATCCTATGAAGTTAAATCTGGGATTCTAGAATAATGTTTTATAGGCATGTAAATTGAATCAATCAGCAAAAGAACAGCTGATATGCAATCAATTCTGCTAAAGAGTTTTCTCTCAGAACAGACAGCAAATTAAAGCTATCATGAAATGTTGCTAACTAGGATGAGAGAGGAGCCCTATAATATGCTTTGTTCTTTTTTCCTTTTTGATACCAATAAATGTTGCCCTGGAAGAGATATAAATGATCTCTACTGGAGAAGTTCAGGATCTTCTATACTATAGCAGGCCATGATATATAATCTAGGAGAAAATACATATAATGACTTATATCAACCAAATATTTGATTACTGTACTGATTTAATGCTCTACAGCAGAATTCCCCAACCTTTCTGGGCTTTGTGGACTGGTGGGGGGGCTGGAGGGAAGAGGGGATGGTTCTGTGTGAGCAACTGGCAAGCACACGTAGCCCCGTTTGTGAGAGTGGTGTGCCTGTCCCTCAAGCATTGGAGTGCGCGTGCACAAGCTCAACTGCTGCTTGCATAAGTGGGAATGCAGGTGCACATGCCATTTCCACGGCCCGATTACAAATAGCTCACAGCTCACTAGTGGGCCATGGACCAGAGGTCGGAGACCCCTGCTCTACATCTTCTTGGGAAAAGTGGATTCTTGAAAAATTGCCAGAACAGACAGAAACACAGAATTTCAAAAAGCATGGTCATAATGTATCAGAGCTGAAGCAAATTAGCTCCTAAAAGTTCTGTATAAAATTATTGATAAATATTGTCTGGACACTCACTGAGTTCTTTTATGCATTATTTAATATCAGGACAACAAGCACATGACTAAAGAAATTGTTTATTTCTGCTAAGAAAAGCATCTCTATAAGAGACATAAACTCACCTAACAAATGTCTCACTTAGCTAGAAATTTTGGGCTCAACTGTGGTCATAGGTTGAGGACTATCTGTATTTTTAATTAGTGTTGAAACAAACTAATGAGCAATGGTAGGCAGTACTATAGTAACTATGTCAACAAATCCCAATCTTTTTCTTATGTCAGAGTCTCATAAATTTTCTAAGAGTAGACAATACCTCCTCAGGTGAAGAAAAAGCATTTTTAAGAAGGTGATACCCTGATTCTTAAAATATTGTTAACATTCCATATTTTTCTGAGATTTCTTTAGTTTTACGGAAGAAAAAAATGTGAGATGTATTTGCATTTGACCCGGATTGTGGGGGCAATAAGATGACTTTGTATTAAAAAAAAAAAGAACACTGTTTGGGGGGTGCGAAAGCCCTACTAAGCAGGTATATACAAAAGTATGAAGGCTATTGCTTAACATATTGTAAGCCGCCCTGAGTCTCCGGAGAAGGGCAGCATATAAATCGAACCAATAAATAAATAAATAAATAAATAAATAAATAATGGTTGCAAGGTTTAAAATCTGTCACAAGGGGGGGCTAGGTGCTAAAACACTTTCCACATCACAGCCTACAAAAAAGCTTATCAAGCAACAATAAATCAGAGCCAAGAGGAGAGCATCTTGCTGTAGTCAGGAGAACCAGATGATATCAAAGATCATATCCTTCCCTGCTTCATTAATTCATAATCCTGCATCTGATTTCCAGTACAGATATTGCTCATCCAACCCAAAAGCAGTTCACGGTCCACTTATTCCCAAGATGAACTATCCGAGCAGTACCTCACTGCGCATTGTACATTACATCATTACAACAACATTTGACACAAGACGGCATGAAAATTCATGATCTGGAAAAAAAACCCAACCCAGGAAATCTCAACAAGAGTGAAGAAGGATGGAGCACCAAAAGACTTTGAAAGCACTTAAACAAATCAAGTTGTTGTTTCCTGTTACTCACATTAGATCAGGTTTCTCTCCTAGAAGTTTAGATATAACCCACTAGATCACTGACTTCTACCCAACAACTGGAGACTCTGGATTTGTTAAGAGCTCAGAATCATTAGAGCCAAACATGCAAAACATTTACAATATGGATTTTTAAAGTTTTTGAACTGCATTCGCCATTTTCCAAAGGTTCTTCCTGTTACAGGTCACAGCCTGAACCAAATCCAATCTAGAGGTCTTGTTGCATTTCTATGTAGAGAAGAAGGGATAAACTTATACCTAAGAAAAGGGATAATGTTTTGTTTTCAACTTCCACAGAAACAGATGAGAAACTCGATATTCAACTAAAAGGAAAAACGTTGTCAACAGAAAGCTAAAATAGGTTTAAATTGAATTAAAAAAGAGAAAGAGAGAGAACAGAAAGTGAATGAATAAGAAACTAAAACACACCTGTGCCAGGAGTTGCATAAATGAATCAACAATATCAGGATGATCCCTGGGCCCTAAAAATATAATAAAGATGTAACTGAAGAGAAAAATCATACAAACAGCAACTTAACATCATATAGTTATGTGATACAGAAAGAATTTACAAGTGAAAACAGGAGTAAGGGAAGGGTGGGGGGGAGGGTGCAACAGGGTGGGCTGAAGAGGGCAGGCACATGAGCAGCTTGAAGCAAGTTAAAGAAACAAAACATACAAAAATCATGGAGCTTGGAAACCCAAGAACAGAAAGAAAGTGCAAAGGAATAGGCATATTGCCCAGATTCCCCTGCCAAGCACCAGGAATAAGAAGGGGGAACTGACTGTACCCTAGCAGGGAAGGAAAAGAAAAGCAGGAACTAACTGGACATCAATTTCTTTTAGAGAACTAGCATATTTGCACTGGATACTTATCTTAAAATACTTGGTCCCTGAAGATAATTCTAGAGTCTATTGACAAATCCAATATTGATGTGAGTGAATAAAAGTTCTAAAATCCATTTGAACTCTAATGGCCATCCCAACACACTATGCTCCTTTCACTCTTGTCAAAATGTTCACTTGACTGGGAAGTATATAACTTTGCAACATTTTTAATAGGGAAAGACCAGCATGACTGCTGATAACCACTCTTCGTTTCAGCATCATGCACCATGAGACTCATCTTCCTCTGTGTTGATGCCATAGCTCTGCCTAATGAAACCAGGCATTGACAGGGTATCACTCAAGTACTGATTCCAAGTTCCAAGTTCCAACCAGCCATCTGGGGATGGGACCAGATACCCTAATACCATGCTATTGCATATTGATTTTATTTACATACTTTAAGCTTATCCCCTCAATTACGGACACCTTAATGGCAGTATGGCAGTTCCGCAGAAGCAAAAGGCAAACCCAAACACTTGCTAGGAAATCAGCAGAGCTCTGAGAGAAAACCTGTAAGCAGAAGGACAGGGGAGTTGTGGTGCAGAACCTTCAGAACAAACTGGGCCACAGGACCAGATAGATGTGAGTGACAACACACTGTTTTGGTTATGCTGTATTAAATAGCAACACACTCCCTACCGGTAGTAGGTCTTATTCAAAGCCAACCATTATGCGAACAAGACTACTAACTCTACTTTCTATTAAAACTGAGAATCTGACAACCAAAGGGCACAGTTTCAATTTTAACAAACCGGAACGAGGGGAGAGGAGAACATGATAGCACTATTGCCCTCTCAAATAACGATTGATATTCAGGGAGAAACAAGCTAAAAAATTTGGTTCTTGTTACTCAGGATATAATTTCTAAACTCCATTGGAGCTCATTCAATGCCTATTATCTGAACAAGGGAACGGTGACTATCTGTAATCCTACAGGCGAATCTGAACGTCTTACAATTAGAAAGAACTGTTACCAATGCAAGTGCTTCATAAGAGTGAGGGTCTCAAGAAATACATACCTTGCTGAAAGAGTGTTAATGTAACTGATGTGACAAGCAGAAAGAGCGCCCTGATCGGTGGGAAGTGGGCAGGCTCATGGGCAAAAATGTGAACCAGCTGAGGATGTAAGAGAACACAGAAAACAAATAGTTATGATATTTTCCATTCTATTTCACATTCCTAAACCTACTTTTTACCAACTTCCTCCCCTTACTCATATTTGGGCCAACGAATTGTCTCTGCTATTAAGCATCAGTGAAAGCTTTCGTCTTAAGATACCAAAGGAGGCAAGAGGTTAGATGATTCAAGGATATTGCAGTTTTTCATTTGTTTTTGCCCATACAGACACAAACCATCCATTTACATGCGCTAACAGAGGAAAAAAATATTTCATTTTTGTAAAATTATTGTATCAAAGGAAAAGCCAAGAGCACCAGATGGCAGAAAAACTGCTCAACAAGTATTAGTTTCCTTTCTGAATTTAGTATTTACCAGAGATTAATGTTCTAAAAAAAACCCTTACCTGCCTGGTGAGGTCAATAGCAGATGCCTGAGGAATAGTGCTATACATCTGTCCCAGCATCTCACACAGTTGAGGCACCATGGGTGCAAAATCATCTAGAAGAGTCTTCACAGATTTTTCAAAAATGGAGCACACAGACTGTGGGGAAAAGAGGCTGTGTCAAGGGAAAACTGGGTCCATGGAATAATTTTTTCCCTCAACTAAGGAGTTACTTGTTTTATATTCTATTCTTCCTTGAAGAAATTTGAGGCAGCATATTTTTTTTGTATTTTATCCTTTGAGATAGGGTAGACTGAGCAAGACTTGTTTGTGATCATCCAGCGAAGATTCATGATTAAAGAAAGACTAATCTTTGGCTCCCCATTTTTTAAAAAAATAATGTTCTACCTGGCTCACATCAGCCACTATTACAATATTATGGTCTTTTCATTTTTACAATTCTCCTGCTGTTTCAAAAGTTGGTTTTCTTGAATGGAAGTGAAAATATTTTTCAGTTGGGACATTGTGATATGCATATAACACCAAAGGATGTACTGTAGGAAAGCCTGCTATTCTCCAAACAATTTAAACACTTTCTATTTATCCATGGAGATTCTCAATCATCTAGGTCATGGTTGTCCCAAAGGTGCTTTTTCATGAGGGAACTGGACTTTCTGTTTTTCTTTGAAAACATTTCGCTTTTCATCCAAGAAACTTCTTCAGCTCTGACTAGATGGTGGGGAATGGAAGGATTTATACTCCTTGCAGACAGACGGTAATTTGCATCTATGTCAAAACTGAACAGCCGTCTCTCAACAGAGGGGGAGACATCATCTATCTGCAGTCTACAACACAGTCCTTTCAACAGTTCCAAGAAGGCTCCACACCCATTTGCACTACTCAGGTGACCATGACGACACAGATAAACCTCTAGGTGGCTTCAACGACTCACTAAAAGAATGCAAATGACTAGCTGTGTGCAAGGTATATAAATCCTTCCATTCCCCCACCATCCAGTCAGAGCTGAAGAAGCTTCTTGGATGAGAAGCGGAAAGTCTTCAAAGAAAAAGCAGCCTCTTGAAAAATCACCTTTGGGACACTTTCTATTTATTACTCATGAAATCTCTTATTACAACATCATTATGTGTCACATTATTTTCTCAGGCAGCCATATCTACAGAATAAATAGCTTAAATATTCAGGCCTTTGGTCTTCTTAAGTTGTTTTCAGCCCAACATTTATTTGTGCATAAACTGCATTGTAGTTTGGTATGAAAATTTCCATCTCAAGCATATTGCAAGTGAATGGCTACGAAAGTGGTGGTAACAGGAAAGATTTAGTTTCTGGTATCCATGGTTTGAGTTATGTACATGGCAGACTTCTTCCACAAGATGGTATGCACCTTGTAAGATCACATTTGGACAGCTATATAAATAACACTAAACAAACAAACAAAAGGCCTGATGAAACAATTTGGCCAAAATATTATAAATTTGGTTATAGGGATTCATAATGAATCTCATGTGGACTAAAATCCTGAAGTAAAAATCATTGATAAATACTTTTTGCTATAAAAAACTGTAAGAGGCATTGGAGGACTGAATGAAAATCAAAAAGATCATTGGTTCATAAAGTTTATGGCCTCTTTTGTCAATACACTAATTTTTAGATGTGACATAAACAAGATGAACAAACTATTAAAATAGGAAAGCAAATAAGATTTAATCGGTATGATAAAGACATGGTGGAAGAATGCCATGAATGAAATCTAGCAGTTGAAATATAAAATCTGTTCAATGGGAATAGAAGCAATAGAAAAAAGGCACTATATATGTTAAAAGTAATCACTCCTGTTCAGAAACCCAGGTGAATGCATTTTAAAGAGCATCTGTGGTAAAATAATCAGAGGAACAAATAAAAGGCACACTGGGGTTGATTTTTTCCTATCACAAGTCTCATCATGGAAATTATGTGAATAATATCTTCCAAAAACAAATTGCAAATCTTTCACAGACATGACACAGTAATTATAGGGTTATATAGTAGTTATATAACAGTAGTTATATTACCTAACATCTGTTTGGAAAATTTCACCAAGCCTAAGTATTTCAGGAATACTTTTTTTTTGACAATGTTCTCCTTGAGATATAGGGGAAGGCATAGAGGCCACCCTTGACATGATACACTTTTTTCATTTAGAAAACAAAAGAAACTGAATTCCAAGGTAAAGGAAGAAAAATACATAGTTTGGTAGCTGTGCTTGCAGGGAAATAAAAATAGTAGTTGACTTCAATGTCAATATAAGTCAATAACATTATATCACTGCAAATAAACAAAAAAGGTCAAATGTACTTTTTAGGCTGCATCAACAGAAGCGATGTTTCCAAATCAATAGAAGGATTGTTAGCAATTATTTTGCACTGGCCAAATCTTACTTTGTTTATTATGTCTAATTCTGGCCTGCACATATTTAGAAAGATTCAATTAAATTGGAATTTAGTTGAATTCAGAAAAAGACAATGAAAATTATTATAAGAATATTCTTGAGTAGAGAAGACTAAGGATTAAATGACAGCACTCTTTGTATTTTTCAAATAACTTACTGACTTTTACAAAAGTCAGTAAGAGCAGTTCAACACTGAGACCAACAGAATAATCATGCTTCCCTTCATTGGATGTCTACAATGATAGGTGAGAAACTTCTTTTTCAGAAATACTTATTTCACAGTGTTACACTGGATAAGTGATTGAAGTTAATACAATTTTTAAAGTTCTATATTCAAGCACTGTTAAAGAACCTCATTCATATTAAGGCAAAACTAGAGATATAATTTCATTAGGGAAATGGTTGAGAATTTAATGTTAACAGCTTTTGATTTGTCCTGCAGATATATCAAACAGAAATTTTAGCCATATGAAAGCTTGTTTTCAAGTTTGTACTGATTGTACTTATTTTACTTTTTAAATAAGCATGTAAACCTAAGCAAAAGATAAAGCAAGAAAACAAAACATAACCAGAAATGAATTTAAAGAATTTCCAGCACTCATTTGTCTCATATTAAATAATACTACAAAGGAATAGCCTTAGGCACATGGATATAGCAGCTGGTTGCTAATCTCCTGTTACAAATTGTATAGTTTATTTTTTTTCCCTTTCTTTCATGGTATTTGTTACAAAAATTCCTAACTCTTCACAGGCTGGATGTACTTCTCAGTTCTCTAGGTGAAATACACATAGATCAATTGTTGCATTCCCTTTCAATTGGCTACTTTTATCCACTGGTTTTAAGTGAGCTGTCTAAAAAAGATATTGCAACTATTTACAACAACATAAAATTATATTTTACATGTTATATAAAATGTAGCAATATTCTATATAAGATAAAGTAACAAAGAAAACAAGAGGAAATGAGGAGTGAGGGAGAAATTATCATAGCACTTTCACTGGGAGAGAAGAGATCACAATGACTGTTGCTTTCCCATTAATGAGGGTCAACCAAAGAATGACACACCAAGGCTCATTTAAACTGCAGCAAACATTACCACAATATTATCTGAACAACAACAAAGCTAGTGAGATGACAGTATTCCAGCTGAGCTATTCAAAATCTTGAAAGACGATGCAGTAAAAGTGCTACACTCAATTTACCAGCAAATTTGGAAAACTCAACAGTGGCCACAGGATTGGAAAAGGTCAGTTTACATTCCAATTCCAAAGAAGGGCAATGCCAAAGAATGTTCAAACTACCACACCATTGCATTCATTTCACATGCTAACAAAGTTAAATCCTACAAGCTAGGCTCCAGCAGTATGTGGACCGAGAACTACCAGAAGTGCAGGCAGGATTTCGAAGAGGCAGAGGAACTAGAGATCAAATTGCCAACATACGCTGAATCATAGAGAAAGCTAGGGAATTCCAGGAAAACATCTACTTCTGCTTCATTGACTATGCTAAAGCCTTTGATTGTGTGAATCACAATTATGGCAAGTTCTTAAAGAGATGGGAGTACCAAACCATCTTATGTGTCTTTTGAGAAACCTATATGCGGGTTAAGAAGCAACAGTGAGAATTGGACACGGAATCACTGATTGGTTAAAAATTGAGAAAGGAGTTTGGCAAGGCTGTATACTGTCACCCTGCCTACTTAACTTATATGCAGAGCATATCATGAGAAAGGCGGGGTTAGATGAATCACAAGTTGGAATTAAGATTGCTGGGAGAAATATCAATAACCTCAGATATGCAGATGATACCACTCTAATGGCAGACAGTGAAGAGGAACTAAAGAGCCTCTTGATGAGGGTGAAGGAGGAGAGTGCAAAAGTTGGCTTGAAATTCAACATTAAGAAAACTAAGATTATGGCATCCGGCCCTCTCAATTCCTGGCAAATAAAGGGGGAAGAAATGGAGATAGTGACAGATTTTATTTTCCTGGGCTCCAAGATCACCGCAGATGGGGGCCACAGCCAAGAAATTAAAAGACGCTTGGTCCTGGGGAGGAAAGCTATGGCAAATCTAGACAGCATACTAAAAAGCAGAGACATCACCCTGCCAACAAAAGTGTGTACAGTCAAACTGGTTTTCCCAGTTGCAATGTATGGCTGTGAAAGTTGGACCATAAGAAAGGCTGAGCACCAAAGAATTGGGGCCTTTGAACTATGGTGCTGGAGGAGACTCCTGCGAGTCCCTTGGACTGCAAGGCGATCAAACCGGTCAGTCCTAGAAGAGATCAACCCTGACTGCTCTTTAGAAGGCCAGATCTGAAGGTGAAACTCAAATACTTTGGCCACCTAATGAGAAGGAAGGATTCACTGGATAAGAGCCTAATGCTGGGAATGATTGAGGGCAAAAGAAGAAAGGGACGAGAGAGAATGAGGTGGCTGGATGGAGTCACTGAAGCAGTCGGCATGAGCTTAAATGGACTCCAGAGGATGGTAGAGGACTGGAAGGCCTGGAGGAATGTTGTCCATGGGGTCGGGGTCGTGATGGGTCGGACACAACTTCGCGACTAACAACAACAACACAAAATATTACCACAAGACAGCAAACTCTTTTAATCTCAATGTTCCTTTCTTGCATATATCTGCATGAGCACAGCTGGATATCTGTTTTCTCCCAACCATTCTCCCTCTCTCTCTTTCTTTTTTTTAACAGCAGCAATCATTTCAAGATGTTTTAAGCTGTATTACCAAGTCATCAGAGGAAAAATTGAACTGGACTGAAATGAACTGAACCAATTCAGCCCTTTCCAAATTAAGGGAATTACTTGAGATGATCTTCTAGAATCCCCAGCCAGGAAGCACTTATCTTTCTGATCCAGAGGACACAATGTAAAATGCATAGGTTAATTACACTAAACAATTAACAATGTAGGATATAATAAAAGTTATACCATTTTGCTAAAAGCAAATCAGATTGGTATTAGATTAACAGTAAATATTTTTGAGGTTTTAAATACTTTCATAATTGGGAATTTTTAAAAAAATAGCAACTAAATCGATTTTAACTTATTGTAAGGCAAGAATGCCAAGTTGTTATTCATACAGTTCATACGTATATTGCACTTGGTTACATATATAGATAAAAAATTACAAAATTGCAGTGTGATAAAAATACAGTGAATAATTCAAATGACACTACTGCTACATAGATGATAATCATGTTTCTTAAGTATATATGCTTGACTCAATTCATATGTGCCATAACTTACCTTAGAAAGGGGATGGCATGATAATTTCCTGCTATTTAAGAAGAAATAGAGCAGATCTAATGCTAAGAAACAAAGCAGACTAACCCAGATGAGTATACTACAGCAGTATGTCAAGTACCTAACACAGATCAAATATTTTTACAGCACCACAGGATAAATCTGGGTTTTTCCTCCTAGCAGAAAGGTGAAGTTTTTCTCAGGCCTATGTCTTTAAAAGAAATGTTTTGTTATTAGCAGATCCCTGGGGGCCAGATATCAGAGCAGTAAATCCACTTGCTCCGGCACTGTAACTACCTGAAGCAAATGGCCTGCCCTGTATCCCTTTGGGTGATTTTTTTTTAAATTAGAAGAAGCATTACCTCCACAACTTGTGCATCATTTAACCACTTGCTGAGCACTTTCTGGATGAGCTGGAAAACTTGCTGTAATACCACCACTACCTATAAACGAGAATGAACATAGAATATAATTCAGAAATGGGTGTGTCTTACATTATTTTGAATTTAGCAGAATATTTATAGATGTTCAGATTTTCTGGTAGAAAGAGGGTCAGAGATTGTCTTGAAAACCTTTTGTGCACCTCCTATAAGTACACTAGTAATGCATCTCTAATAATATACAATGCATAGCGTATTTCTCATTCTCAACGACTAATACAAACAAAGCTTGTATCTTTTTTAAGGAATGTTCTGAACACTAAAAAAAGTCATATAAAAACTGCTCAGTAACTCAGCTAAAGAGTCTCACTTAGAATAGAAGAATACAAGGGGACTTCCAGGGAAGATGGCAGGCTAAAGATGGCTCCATGAAAAGAGGAGATAATGTTTGTGGCAATTGTGGAAATTGCCTATTAACTGCTTCAAAGAAGTTAAGACACTTTCAAAGTGACAAAGATGAGATGAGATGCCTTCAATCTTTAATATAAGAAAAAGAAGATCTAGCTTTATAAACTTTAAGATTTTAAAATAAACAGCAAAAAAGTAAGACAAGGTTTTGGCTATAAAAGTTTTAAACAGAGAAAGGGCTCAGAAAACTTTGGAATATTGGATTTTGAAGACTTTAAAACTAATCTTAAATAATATATTTTTGTGGGAAATAAAAACTGTTTTGATATTGGAGACGTAACAAGAAAAGGAATTTATAAGGCTGGTTAGAAATATCTTTGAAAAACTGTAATGGGAACTGCAACAGGACTAATTATATCAGCTGTCTTGTGTCTTCTTGGGAACGGTGTCTTCCCAGAATAAGATATTACAGGAAAAAAACACATGGAAGGAAATCTATCTGAAAACAATCAGAACAAAACTTTGAATAAGGATTTGTTATCAGAAAAAAAAAGAAAAAATAGATGGGACTTTAAAAATTAAGAAGGAAACAAAAATGACAGTACCAGAGAGCACTTTTTTTTTTTTTGCTGGACTTACAAAAAGGCTGTATTGAAGACATTCATAACAAGGATCAACAATCATCTGAATGGATTACAAAGAAAGATTGTTCTGTATAAAAAAAGGAATACAAAGTTGGTTTATTTGACCATGTTTAAAATGGGAATGTTGTGATTTTAAATGGTTCTTTTTGGATTCTGATACCTGGCCAGGAAAAATGTGGCATATTGTATTTGCTTGCATTTAATATGATGTTTAAGCTTTTCCCCTTACTACTTTATGTATCTTAATTTGATAGCGTTTAAACTGGCTCTGTACCTGTATTTTTAGTTCTATGTATTTGTTTTATAAAATGAGAAATTATTCCTGTTTGTTATGATAATTTTTCATTTTTGGTTTATCTTTTATGTTTCCTAAATGTGGATTTGTTTGTAATTTATAGTTGAGGTATGGAATGTTTATTTGAATAGGATATGTTATTTGGAATGGTTTTCTTTGGAATTGTTGGCACAGAAGGTCATGTATTGGCACTTGCCTTTTTTAAAGGAGAAATGGTCCCATCTTGTCATGTAAAACTAGATTTCCTTGTTTATATTAGGCTATTGGGATCATTTTATGTCTTTTAAATGGGGTTTTGCTTACAACTAACAGCTGAGATGTGGAATGTTGAGTTTTATATACATTAAATAATATTGTTTTAAACTCTGACTAGACATTTTGATGATTGCAGAAAATGTTGCTTATTTGAATAGCATATGGTTAAGAGAATTATGGGATAAAAATTTTTATATTTATTATTAAAATGAGATTATGAAATTGTTTATACTTGTCATGATGAGGGCGGGAAGTTGATTTCTTGGGAAGGGATTTTTTCTTTTTCTTTTTTTTCTTTTTTGTACTCTTTCCTTTTTCATTTTTTTTTAGTTTGTATTATCTTTTATTGTAATTAAAACTTTTAATAAGATTATTACAAAACATAATATAGGAATATAAAAGTATCACTTTCATCATAATTATTAAATAGGACACTTATTACTTTCTACAGGAAAAGCTGCTCATAGTAGCTGCATTGCAGAGAAAATAAGCATTTATTAAAAATTACTTGTATTAATGGTCTGTAGAGATTCTCAGTCATCCAGGTCATGGTTGTCCCAAAGATGCTTTTTCAGGAGACAACTGGACTTCCTTGTTTTTTCTTTTGAAGACATTTCACTTGTCATCCAAGAAGCTTCTTCAGCTCTGACAGGATAGTGGGGAATGGAAGGATTTATATGGAGAATGGCAGGATTAATATAAATCCTTCCATTCTCCACTATCCTGTCAGAGCTGAAGAAGCTTCTTGGATGAGAAGCAAAATGTCTTCAAAAGAAAAAACAAGAAAGTCCAGTTGCCTCCTGAAAAAGCACCTTTGGGACTACTTGTATTAATATACAAAGAGAACTTCTTCAACTATGCAACAATACTCACAGGATTGGGGCCCTGAGGCACTGGCAGTTTTTTAACCTCTGGGTTCTCATGATCATCATCATGGTGACTGATGTCCAAAGTGGTGAAGAGGTTGGAGAGTAGACCCAATATATGGATAATAGCTAGTTTGTTAGATGGATTGGGCTGCAACATAAAGTATCACTATAGTCATTACACTTTGCGCAGGATATAGGCCAGTATCATCAAGTTTTCTAAGCTGGCATCAATAAGAAATAACAGTATTGTGAAACACAGCTAGCTACTTAGTGCTTCATTTTCTTAGCAGACTTTGGGCTCATCTTTGCATTCTTCTAACTATAGCATGGATATATACAATTAAGCATTTTTAAATTAGATGATGTTACCTGTAGGAGAGAGACTGGATGAGGTAGGGGAGGAATCAAATGGGGACTTAGTCTAGAACCTCTATGTGAGCACAAGAAGGCAAAGTTTGACCCCTTGAATGCCATTGAACCTTATCTAGTGTCATCTAGATGCAAATGGTTAGTCTGAGAAGATTCCTGTGTACAGATTTGAGCAATAAAGCAGTTAATTGAACATTTCAAATGCGGGTCTGGTTGTTTGGCATTCACTTAGTTTCATCCCCAACCAACTATGAAGACAATTTAAAGTCCTATTGAGGTGTTCCAGTTTTTAAATGATATTTTTCAGTTTCTCCCAATACCTATTTTCTGTGGGTTTAAGACTCTTCGCTGATCATGTACTTTAAGGGAAAAATTGGGATCTTCCTGGCTCCTTATGGCCACTTCAGATTGCTTTGACATGCCCACTCTCCTCTGGTCCCTTTTCAAAGGCATTCTGCTTTTTCGCATTTCACAATTCTTTCAATATGTAATGGTAGACAGTATTGTTCAATCAGGAGAAGCTTTCCTGTTTTACTGAGCAGCATTCTCCTAAAATACAGATTTTAATAAAGGGACCCTGAGTACCTGTTAGACTAGATTCGGTCTGCTGAGCTAGCACACAGCTTCTTCTATTTTGGAATAGATGTGCCATCAGCCTCTAAAGGATATGGTAAGGGAATTTTAAGACGGCTAAAGCAATGAAGAATGTATGTGTTTGTATCATGTGCACGTAGGATTCACACATTTAACTTTTGATTGAGTCTCATAGGCCCCACAAGTCCATTTTTCTAAGCAGAACTCACTTTCTCATTCCCCCTCCCTCACCTAAGCATAACTGCAAAGAGCACAGAAATCAAAATGGAATGGCAGGGTCCAATCACTTTGGGGTGATAATACCTTGCCATTAGGGTGCCTCCTAGGGGTTTCCTTTCAGTACTGGCCATGCTCAATTGCTCCATCTCACCTTTTAAGTGGAGCTTTTAGGCCTGCAAAACTCTAGTGCAGCCTGAGTAATTGTGGCGGCAGCAAACAAAGTAAGCAGCTTTTTTTCTAGTCTGAAAAATGCATCTCTTAATGGAGAAAGACAATTGAAGAGGAAGCCTGAAAAGGCAGGAGAGGTACTCATGCTTCACTGGGCAGTTCTGTCCTCTCCTGTGATCTGCTGAGGGATGAAGCAGAGTCTTGGTCTGCTAGCACCTGTCAGCCTCTCCCCACCCAAAAGCTGATTGTACTGAAGGTAAGACAGTGATGCCATACAGTAGCCTTCACAGCTCTTTTATGAAACAATGTTAAACCTCTGCCCCAAAGGAGCCCAGCTGACAAGTTACAGGAGCAGAAGTGGGGGGGGGGGGATGAAGCAAGAAGGAGCTTTCTTGAGTGAGCATCTCAGCCTTTATTTCCACATCTCAGGATTTCTGACCTGTACACTGGATTAACAAATTTGAAAAGAGGGTGGGAGACAAAGAGAACAGGAACCTCTTGTGCTTTTCACAATCCATCTTCTTTGCCTATTATCTGTCACAGCGGAGCAGTGCAGTGCAAAACAGAAGAAATGCGCAGTGCAAAGCAGAAGAAATGTGCACTGCAGCGCTCTTCACAAGACTTCCTGTGAACTTAACCTGATAGTAAGACTCTTTTTGGATATAGTGGGCCTGGTGGCTCAGCAGACTGATAACATTGTGATTAACACCAGCTGTCTGCAATTACTGTAAGTTCGAATCCCACCAGGCTCAAGGTTGACTCAGCCTTCCATCCTTTCTAAGGTAGGTAAATTGAGGACCCAGTTTGTGGGGGCAATAAGCTTTGTATAAATATACAAAAGTATGAAGGCTATTGCTTAACGCATTGTAAGCCACCCTGAGTCTCCGGAGAAGGGTGGCATATAAATCAATATATATATATATATTGTACTTGACTTACAACTGTAATGTACCCTGACCATTATGATTCTAAGTTGTGACAATCATGATGTGTCACCTATGTGACTGATCCAATTTAATGACTTTTTGCAGAGGTCTTTAAGCGACGTGGCCAATCGTAAAGTAAAATCATTGTTCGCTATGAGCCATTTTGTCAAAAACTGGAAGTAAATGCCAGGGATTTGGCAAAAATATCATAAAACACAATCATGTGACCACAGGGCACTGCAAATGGCTATAAATACATGCTGGTTGCCAAGTGCCTGACATGCAGTCATGTGACCACAGGAGCAGCCACCAGAACCAAATAGTAAATAGCCCTGGGGAGATCTGTTGTAACTTCAAAGAGTTGCTAAATCGTAAGTCAAGGACTACCTGTGCAGCATTTCATTCCAAAAATAGTCCAAAACTATCAAAGAGCATCAGGGAGCTCTGTCATGCATCACTGTGCATTTCTCTCCACTTGGATAGTATGAAAAGTAGCTAAATCACCCTTCCCAGATACTTTCTATACCCCGCCTATTCCACCCTATCCCATATTAATAAGAGCAACCTGAGGAGCCTGAGTGGCGTAGGAAGCTAATGCCTCCTACTAAGGCAGCATTTAACATCCAGCTGCCTGCAATTACTGTGAGTTCGAATCTCACCAGGCTCAAGGTCAACTCAGCCTTCCATCCTTTCTAAGGTGGGTAAAATGAGGACCCAGTTTGTGGGGGCAATAAGCTGACTTTGTATAAAATATACAAAAGTATGAAGGCTATTGCTTAATGCATTGTAAGCTGCCCTGAGTCTCCGGAGAAGGGCGGCATATAAAAATAAATAAATAAATAAAAATAAATAAATAACCTCTGCTTGCTTTTCTTACTGGCAAATGATTTTGGTGGAAAGGGGAATGAAGCCAGGGAAATCTACCAATTGTTTTCCTTAACTAGTACTTTATCAATAATTTAAGAACAGCAATTCTTGCCAGCCAAATTCTGGTGGTAGACTAGAGCTTGATAGTTGGAGCAGCACAGCATATATCAGCATGCCTTTTGGTGGAGGATAGCGCATTAACATAGCCATGAGAAAGTGCCCCACATCAATGTCTCTGTTCCCAAGTGTAGAAGTGATGACTGGGATGGTAACAAGGAAGATTATAAAGTAAAGGACAGTGGCAGAAATCACTAATGAAAGGAAGCAAAAGAGGACTTTCAAACTAAGCATGACTTGTAACAAAAAGGATAAGCCTCTTACATATAGCAGGCCTAGTGTTCTTTAAGAAAAAGCAGAAATCATTAACAGACATCTGATGTAGCTCACCGTTTCATCGGCCAATTTCTCTAATTGTTGGATGTAAGGAGTTATAAGTGAATGTAGATTCTTCAAAATCTCTTCCACTTGGAGGGCAGACAATAAGAAACCCAGAGCCTGCATCAGCCACATACACTGACTTGTCTAAAAAGAAAAGATGGATAGCTTTTTCAATTTTATTATTGCATTTAAAAGTTTCATTTCATCCTCCCACTCAATCCTTAATCATCTACAAGCTTAAACTTAAAAATGCCTTGTGAGAACTTATCCTGAAACTTGTTTATAAATGGCATGACTCAGTATAGGAACAGCCATTGCTCTTATTAGGAGACATAACTAAATCTCTATTTAAGAACTGAAAGCCTCATTTGTCTCACTAATAAAACCTCACATTGGCTGTAATGTTCAATTCCACTGAAATGATTTGACAGGAAACAATATCTTAGGTATACTTGTTATTTCCTGTCAAACGGGGAAACAATCTTACCTTGTGAATCTGCTTCATTAGCACCTCCTACAGAGGGAAAGAGTCAAGAAAATGAATGCTGTTTCAAAAGTAGAATTTAGTTATATCAACAACGTCCTAACCATAGTAGCACTTGAAAATCCTGTGAGGCAAATACAGGTTCTAGGGGAACAGAGGCTCCAGGAAAAAATGGACAAATAAAAAAAGAATAGCAATCAGGATTTCATTATAGGCAATTGATTCTGGGGTTCTACTAGCCTAGTGGCGCAGTAGACTAAAGTGCTGTTAAGTAGCACCAGCTGCCTGCAATTACTGCAAGTTCAAATCTCACCAGGCTCAAGGTTGACTCAGCCTTCCATCCTTTCGAGGTAGGTAAAATGAGGACCTGGATTGTGGGGGCAATAAGCTGACTTTGTATTAAAAAAAAAAAAAAAAAGAACACCGCTTGGGGGGGCCGAAAGCCCTACTAAGCAGGTATATACAAAAGTATGAAGGCTATTCCTTAACGCATTGTAAGCCGCCCTGAGTCTCCGGAGAAGGGGGGCATATAAATCGAACCAATAAATAAATAAATAAACAAACAAACAAACAAACAAATAAATAAATAAATAAATAAATAAATAAATAAATAAATAAAACTCATCGTATACAACATAGGTAACATTTAAACAAGGGAAAGACAATGCACCATCCCAACTAAATTTCAATTACTGGGAAAAGAATGACCTCTACTTTTCATGCAATCATCTCACCAGAAATCTGCAGTTGGATAAGATACAAATATTATCAACTCTGCTGAATTCATCCATAAACACACATTGAATACAATATTTTTATTGCTATAAAAAGACTACTCCTATACATCTAGATCAGGGGTGTCAAATTCGCATCGTCACGGTGTCATCACATGACATATCATGACTTTTTTTCCCCTTTGCTAAACCGGGCGTGGATGTGGCTAGTGCGTGACCCATCCGGTATGGTGAGTTTGACACCCCTGAACTAGATCAATGCTTTAAAAATCTTAGATTTTCACTCTTTGAATACCAGCAGCAGGAAATCCTTCCCATCCACCCTCAAGGACCATATATCCTCAGAAAGGAAATTGTAGGTAGACGCTGCATACCAGCAATGAAGAGGACTAAGTTCTACATTTTAATTCCTTATTATTCTGTACACATCCACGCCCCCCCCCCCCATAACTCTATAAACACATATCTGCACTCACCCTGTGCATACTACGGATGACTCATCCTCTGTTTTTAACGTGGCTTTGCCTCCATCAACATACTGGGGAGAGAAGCTGGAACAATTGGAAGCTCGCTGTGAGCAATTTTCATCATTCTCTGCAGAATGGTTTACTCTAATTTGGATTCCAGGGTTGGGGCAGGTCACAAGGAAATAACCAAATAACTTCATATGGTTTCTTTTTAGCTTGTCAATCTCAAGGACATGGGCAGGGTATGTGGAGAGATGAAGGTCAGCATTTGCTTGCTGAACCACTGACTTTGCTGGCTGATTAGACTGACAGTTACTGTTGCCATGATCAAGGGAGGTAATCTGCAACTATTGAGACAACAATGTGCTCCTGCCTGTTTAAAGGAGACCGTTTTATCACCTCTATTGAAAAAGCCTTCTTTTGACCAAATGTCTTTTTTTTTTCTAGATATAGGCTTAGTTTCAAATATTCCATTATTGGGTATGGTGACATAGAATGATGGATGAAACTTCTGGATCTATTTCAATAAGGGTTTTGTTTATTTTAATTATCCATCTATGATTTTAATTGCATTAAACCATGTTTTGTGTTACCTGAGAGACAGCAACAATGTTGGCAGCATACGGAGGCAAGTCATATTTACACTCACGGCATATCTTCTTAAGAGTAGAGACACTAGAGATAGATAATTCTGGATTGCCCAGAGCCTGCAATACCAGGGGCAGGACATTGTTGATCATTACAGGATGATCAGCCAGCCACTCTGAGAGAGCCCCTAGTATCAAAAAGAAAACAAGTCAAGATTACTTTGCTGATATGACAAGCAAATTCAGGGAATAGCACAGCAATTTCTCCTTACCAAACAAGGTTTGTCTGAAAACCTCTTCCCCACACATAACCTCACTCAGGTCCCAGGGTAATAGTGGGCAGCAACCCTTCACAAAGTTAAGCTATCCTTTTGTAACAGCTACATAATCTCAGTATTGCAATCTTCCCCATTCAACAACATCTCCCCTTCACTTGCCCAATTTCCTCACCAATAGTGAACATCACCGTGTCTGCAAGTTGTACATTGCTGATGCTGATGTGGGGGATGAGGCCGATAAGGCCAGGAACCACGTCTGAATAGTTTACATCTATGGTCTCTGCAATGGACTGGAACCCATAAAGTAAAGCTTCCGTGTTCTGCCAGAAATAAAAAGAGATGTGTTGAATCCAGCTCCCTCTCAAATTTTGATTCTGACAAAAGAGGTATGGTATGGAGCTAGTTCCCACAGAAAAATATAATTGTCATTTTTTTACAGTTAATTCTATGATATAAATTTTTCCCCAAAGCAAGGATTATTTTTCAAGACTATTACATCTGAATCTGGGAAATTCATCCCCAATTACACTCATGGTCCTTATTTTGTGCACCCACTGCATATATGGCCTGAGCAGGAATTGACTGAAAGTTAAGTAATTTGGCTTCTCACAGTTTCACTACTTCAAGAGAAGGGGGAAAGAAGAAGCAAATATCTTGCATACACGTTCCTTCTCAATGGGCCATTTTATATAAAGACATCACTTAGATTACAACATGCTCGGTATTCTGGAGCATTGGCATGATTGTTACTTCTAAAGGCTTTGGTTTGTAAATCATGGTCAGAGCTCAATTTTTGTTTGCTGTCACAGTGATGGATAAGGAACCCCTGCAGTCATTGGTACTTCGTATCCATCACTGTTTGCCACACCAGTAGCATTCTGATAGCACAGGTCGGTGATCCATTTTGATCAGCTGTCATATATGGACATGTGGCCCAACATTACATCTATCTCTGTGTAGCAGACATATCTAATACCTTTCGCTAAACTAAAATGACTGGTTTTCGTAACACCAGTGGGAATGGGACTGCACCTTTACTATAGCAATCTCGATATTAATCTAGGAGTAAAGAACTCATAACTATATGAAGTTCCAGCTTCAGTTTGAGGTTCCACAGTACCCAGATCATTTCACTACAATTCAGATGGAAGCACCTGATTATTAGCTGTTTAATTTTCCATTTTACACCTTCTTCTCATTGAGCAACCACATTTCAATCCAACAACTTGATTGTTAAGCAAAATGTGTGTGTGTGTGTGTGAGAGAGAGAGAGGGGGGGGGGAGAGAGGGAGAACACTCCATTGTGAAGATCACTGGTTGCTGCCCTTGCATTCAGATAAAGTTATCTTATACTGTGTACTGTGCTGACCCGTTTTTTCACCTCCTAGGGCAGAGAGATTGCTTAAACAAGATATCTCTTCCTGGGCTGCTTTTCTCTACAACAAGTGCTTCCCTACTAAGTGCTAAATTCAGGTTTACAAGCTCACGTCTGTGATCTTAATTAGTTGATTATAAGTTTTAAGTCAGATCTTAATCAATTTCAGGTGAACAAAATTTGGTGATAAATATACACATTGGTCAGAAAATGATTTTTTACAACTGTGGTATTTGTGAATGGTTGCTAACCAAGGTAATAGCTAAAGAAGAAATAGCTATATAGAGCTCAAACTGGAAAAATGGTGAAAAATTTCGTAATACCAATTTATTCCATTACTTCTTCTACATTGTTTCCTCCCTAGTCCTAATGGTTCACTGGTTACCGCTGTCATCTGAGAGCAGAAGAACTCTACCCTCACCTGCCATGAGGATGGCTGATCTGAATTTGTCAGAAGGCGACCCAGTTTGTCATATAAGCTACTCAGGAGTTCCGCTCCCAACATCTCATATACATACATCAAAGTATCTGAGATGTCCACTCTGAAAGACAAAAGAACCACAAAAACATCTGCTTACCGGACCAAGAATACATATAAATAGCTAAAATAAACACTAACAATCCAACATTCAGCCTTCATTACAACCAATACTGTATGATTTACTACTCTTTTGCAGTTCACCAGCCATTTCATATATTAAAAGACACCGCTAAGCAAAAGGCCATACCGATATATACGAAATTGCTCCTTTTCATCGGAGGACCAGCAACTGTATTCTTCATCAGAGGGGAACTGAGCTTTATGTAGAAGTACATCCACTAACTGAAAATATACAGGTCGATACACTTGCTGATACATAGCCTGTTTTTCTGGATCAAAAGAGAGAATGTCATCCTGCAAACAAAAAGATAATTGCTCAATTGCAAGGAAAAGCTATGTGACACAACTATGGTCTTAAGAAATTACTGCTATCATCACTTTCTGAGGGGATAGCTAGAACTCACAATTCAATATCATACCACTTTCCCCAAATCTTTCAGTTGCTCTGCCCAATATTGACTTGCTCATTGTACAAGAGCACCCCAGATTCCTTTCCTGGCATTTAACACTTTTCCTAGGTTCTAGCTGCAAGGCAACAACAAGAGGCTGTTGTTGTTTTAATGGGAAAAAAGATACAGATGTAGAGCTACAGATGTCTTTTAGACATATGTTTGCAACTGAGTTTATTTGAGATCTCCAGAACAGACTGCCAATTGTCTTTGTTTTAACATCAGAACATTAAAGTAAAGGAATAACTTTATATTATACACTGTCAATCCACCAAATAAGCAGTATCATCTCCCAGCAATTAGGCAAAAATGGAAACTATCACAGACCAGGTTTCCTGCACATCTTCAATTACTGCCATCTTGTTCTTATTTTTGTCTAAGTAAGGAATAAATTAGTTCTCATAATGAAGTCATGCTCTCTAGCACAAAATAGCCAATGAAAAGTCAAATATACAATGAGAATTAAGAGTAAGCATATTGCTGTGAAGTACAGTAGACATAACAGAAAAAAAAATCCCTTCTCCAATAGACTATCGAAGATGCTGCTCTAGTTCAGCAACCTTCATTAATAATGCGTCTGTGGGCTGACATACTGCACTAGTCACATACTGAGGCAATGTATGACCTCACCCTATTTCAAGCTGGCACTTAGAAATGCAGCAGTTCAACAAATAGCCTTGTTCTTGAACACTGCACGAGTGCCAAGATAATCTGCTATGCTATATAGAGAAGGCATCCTACTTAAACAGAGGATGGATATTCAAATTCAATGACATACAATAAAACATGGGCTGAAACAAGATGTGGCAAGATAATAATTCTACTATCCAGTAAAGCATTCATTGCATGGCTCTTATAAATAAATCGTATCAAGCTAAGAAAATGCCACTGAAGGAATCTGCTTCAGGAAGAGAACTCTTACCTGCAATGTATACCAGAAAGTGAGTGTAAGTGAGCTTGTGGTCTCATTCACAGGATAGTGTCCTGGGATTCCGGTGCAGAACATTATCATGTTGACCAGTGCCAGAAAACTCTGCCAATGATCTACCTGGTCCAGAAGTGCTCTATGGAAGGTAGTAAGAATGCAGAATCAGGAACCTGCTATATCATGGCAGACCCATAGGAATCTATATACTACTAAAACTCCCGTTTGTAACCTTCAGTTGAATGAAAATGTGTATCAAAGGGCACAACTTTTGAATCAATGTATCTCAAACGAGTTCACTTAAACAATGAGTCCAAAATCTGGGACTCATTATTCCTATGGGATTGAAATTTGGCAAAGTTGTAGTTGTTTAAGCACTGCTTTGTGGCCATGCTGCCACAGTCAAGTGATCCGTCATTTCCACCACTCTTTGCCAGCTTCTCAGAAGGCAAGTTAATAGGGAAGTTTGCAGAAAGTTGGAGTTCACTCCCACTGTTTTTTGCCTGCCCATGATCATTTTGTTTCTCTGCAGAAGAAAATATCTTTGAAATGATGATCCAATGGGTCACAGGTGGTCTAATAAAATATAGAACTTAAGATAATACATATGGACAGTGGGTTTCAATTTCAGCCGCTACTGGTTTGCTCGTGGGGGTGCGTACGCTCACGCGACGCTTCTGCACATACGCAGAGACATCCAGGTGGGTGGACAGAGCCTCCCGCCACCGCTGCTACCAGTTCGCCCAATCCGGGGTGAACAGGTAACAACCCACCACTGCATATGGAATAGGATTCAACAATTCATGAAGCAAATGCCCATTGAAGCCCATCAGCTGGAACTGTTTTAGAACCTGAATAACTTCCATGCACATAACAGATCTAAGATTCTGTAGAGTTCCCACAAAATGCTCTCTACATGGGGCTCCCTTTGGGGTGCACCCGGAGGCTGCAGTTGGTCCAGAATGCGGCCACACGGGGGATTATGGGAGCGACGGGGCGCTCACATATAACACCTGTCCTGCGCGAGCTGCACTGGCTTCCTGTGGTCTTCCGGGTGCACTTCAAGGTGTTGGTGACCATCTTTAAAGCGCTCCATGGCTTAGGGCCAGGGTATTTGCGAGACCGCCTTCTGCCGCCAATAGCCTCCCACCGACCAGTTCACTCGCACAGAGAGGGCCTCCTCAGGGTGCCGTCAGCCAGACAGTGCCGGCTGGCGACCCCCAGGGGGAGAGCCTTCTCTGTGGCAGCACCTGCCCTCTGGAATGACCTGCCCCCTGAGATACGCACGATATCAGACCTCCGGACTTTTCGTCAGGCCCTGAAGACACACTTGTTCCATCTAGCTGGGCTGGCTTGATCCCATCCTCTCAGTTTTTTTTAATCGAATTTGGTTTTAATTGGGTTATTTTAAATTCGGGCCAAAATTATTTAATTGTTTTTTAAAATGTTTTTAAATTTTATATGCTATGTTTTATCTTGGCTGTACACCGCCTGAGTCCCGCAGGAGAAGGGCTGTATAGAAATAAAATAAAATAAATAAATAAACAAAGATTGTAAATTAGCATCTAAATAATCTTCTAGATTTTTAAATGGAATTTGAGAGGTTGCAAGCTGTTTGTGAGGAATAAAGAACCCAGAATGGCTTTTGCCACATTCTAGCAATCACTGCTATTAAATACCAACACAAGGCTTAATGCTTCTCACCGAGAATGATTCTCCCCTAAGGCTACAGCAATACGGCAAATCCCATGAGAAGTTTCCATATCCCTATTTTGAACTGCTTGACGTAGCTGTTCCTGGAGTCCTAGTACCGGTGGAATGAGCTTCAGAAGAGTATTCACATACCTGTTAGGAAAGAGAGAAGATAAAAATGGAGAACTCTATATTCCCCACCAATTCTCCTGTCTTCAGCAAAGTATCACAGTCCCTGGTAGACTACACAAGTATTTAGGTCCCCCTACCTGCCCAGCCCCACTTTTCCCTTTGTATTCATCTGGATTCTTCAGAATTGTTAAGATCAGAGGATGAATGCAATAATGCCTTCAATGAATGAAACCAACCTTCTTATAACTGCTACTCAGAATTATATTGCCTTTGTAGCTAGCTAGCTATCATTCCTAATAGCACCTAATAGACCTTTACAACATTAAAATGAAGTCTCCTTCCAGCCATGCTTGACTTCTGATGGCTTCCAGGGCATGTCCGTGATGTTTTCCTGGCAAAAATACAGAAACAATTTGCCATTGTCTTATATATTTTTCTAACTCTGCAGTCTAGCCTATGGCTCTGGCACTCCCTGGATGTCTTCCACCCAAATATTAGCCAAGACTTATGTTTATTAGCTTCCAGACCCAGACAGCTAGGTATTGCTAGCTGCTGAGATTTTTGAACATCAATTTCTTTTATTTCTTTAAACCAAGTGTGTGCAAATTTTTGGAACAAAAACTGTATTTAGCCTTGCAGTAACTTCCTAGGCTACAGAAATACATTAGTTTTTTTGTATGATAAATGAAAATTCTATTTAATAATTTAAATGCAGTTAATATGCTTACTTTCCACATTTCTCTATATTTTCCCCTTCAAGCATGTTAAACAGACTTAGGTGCTCAGTAATAATTTTTGGAAAATCACCAAAAACTATATTTAAACTGTTATAGGATGCTAAGGACTCAAGTTATACAATACCATACAACACTATTTTATGCCATCTAAATCAGATAGCTATGCATTAAGCTGGGTTCTGCAATGCAGGAGGAGACTTTCTATTTCAAATCAATATAATCAATATATGTGAGAAAAATATATAAACCGTTCCCTCTTCATCATTATAATTTAACAAAGTTTGATCATGCAAACTCAAAGCAACCGGACTTTCATTTGAAGAATGATGTATTAGATGTAATGGTTAAGGTGCTGGCCTAGAAACCAGGAGACTGAGTTCACTTGGCATCACATTTTCACTCCCATACATCAGACTCATAGCAGCAGCCATGTCTTTAAAGTGACAGTATACCTAAGGCCTGATGTGCATAAATTGGAACAAACTGTATTTGACACAATAATTTATAATATTTTAATTTTGCCGCAACAGCTTAAATGCAATTACTTTTCTGGAATTTGCCAGCTTTATTCATATATTTAATTACTGCATGCAACAGACTTTAGAAAAGATATGATTTTATTTTACAATAGGCCTGTTATGCAGGAAAGAAGTTAAATCAAGCTTCAGAAGAAAGCTTACACCTTTGGTATAATTCTGCTTTTCTTAAGAGCCCACATCTGTTATGGGTGAAATGGAATAAATATTTGAAGATGTATGATATTCATTGTTTAAACAGAATCTGTTGATGGGAAGAGAATTTGAAAGAGTTACAATCTTTGAATATTCATTTCCTCAAATCAAAAATAAACGTTCAGATAGCTAGTATTTCACAGTGCACTGCAGCATTCCAGAACCATACAAGTAATTTCTTGCCTGTCAATCTTCCTATTGTTGCCAATAGGTGATTGTAACTATGACAACAAGCATGGAGGAAATGGAGAGGAAGAGCAAGGGATGGCCTCAAAGGAGACAAGAGAGATGCTATGCTGATGGCTAATCAGACAGTTTTCAGTTTCCTGGCTACTGAGGCAGACTATGAAGAGATATGCTTATTCTGAACTTGCCCACCCACCTGACTCTACCTCATATATAGTCCACAGTTACAGGTAGAAGACCATACCAATGCTATGCTTATAGCACTGAAGAAATCAAAAACTTTCTCTTATTATCCATAGTGCTGGACTCTGCACAGAAAGAATAAGCCAAATACCTCCACTAATTTGTTTTAGCAGCTTTCAAAAATCCTGTCCCATCTCCATCTTGCTTTACATTGATTATTTAGTAGAATATCATATTTTGGTGTGAAACAAGTCCATAGGCTAAAAAAAAAATCAGGTAATTGGCATTTAGAAGCTAGGAGTAACATAAATGTTTGGGAGGAGGAAAAGTAAGTGTGGTTACAGAGGGTTAGAAAAGAACAGGGCTATCTGTATGGCTAAGGAGCAATTCAAATGAAACCATTCTGCATTAGTATATGCAAAAATAGAAATGCAAAAGTACACTTTAAAAATACTGGAAAAGACTACCGGTAATACATAGACAAGATAACTGAACTAAAACATTTTTCCAACCAATGGTAATCCAATTCAACATAAATCAGAAAGAATAAAGAGCTAAGCAATCCTGGATCATTTCTTCCATACATCTTTATTAATTAATCTAATAGAACAGTGTATACAGTTCACCTTCTCTTAAGCTTTCAAAAAGGAAGAGAGAAATAGACTTGTTTCATAGCCCCATGATGAGATTTTACATGACTTTCACTACTATCACAACCTGGAGGGGGGAGCACATTTTCTATTTTTAAACAGGTGATATCCTATGTGGACTTTTCAGTAGTTAAATTATTTTATAGCCCATTTTTGTTTAGAAAGCTCCCATAGTTTTGCAGCAGTACACTTTTGAGATATACTTCCTCAAGTCCAACTAAGTTTGGCAAGTAGTCCAACGTTCTTTTAAAGCAATAAATAGTGATTTACTCTGCCACCTTTTAGAGACATATATAGGGAACTAATTTATGTTCCCTATAATTTTCCTCTCTAGGTTGAATATACTATACATATCAGTGGTGAAATCCAATTTTTTTTACTACCAGTTCTGTGGGCGTGGCTTGGAGGGCATGGTGTGGCTTGGTGGGCGTGGCAGGGGAAGGATATTGCAAAATCTCCATTCCCATCCCACTCTGGGGCCAGCCAGAGGTGGTATTTGCCGGTTCTCCAAACTACTCAAAATTTCCCCTACCGGTTCTCTAGAACCTGTCAGAACCTGCTGGATTTCACCCCAATACATATCCAAATGTAAAATATCTGTCATCAATAATAGTTAAATACACTGAGGAATCACAGTACCAGTTTCTTCAAGAATATATTTTGATCAAGGTTTCTACTCAAATACTTCATCTCTATTGTGAAGAAACATGGACAGCGGAAAGGGGAAAAAAGTGAAAAGACAGGAAGAAAACTATACAGGTAGTCCTTGACTTACAACAGTTGCTTTAACACCATTTAAAGTTATGATGGACCTCCACAGAGCTACTTACTATCTGTTTTTGGAGCTATAACTGCGTGCATACACTTAAACCCTCTCTATGATCACATTTTAGGAGCTTGGCAACAAACTCATCTTTATAGCCATTTGCAGTGACTCACATTCACATGCTTGTAATTTGTGCCATTTTGCCTGTTTCTGGCATTTACTTTCAGTTTGCAGCAAAATATGCCCATTGGGGAAAATGGATTTAACCACTGCTGGTTTGCTTAATGACCATGGCATTTGCTTAATGACCCTTCTAAAAATGGTCATCACTTTGAATCCTGTCATATAATATCTTGACTTAAGACACAATGACCTACGACCATAATTCTGGAATCAATTATGATTATAAGTCAAGGAGTATCTATACACAAAGTCTCATCTGCTAATGAAATCTTCCAATGTTTCTAGTTGCTTATTACATTTTTTCATAAAACCACAAATATAATCACAACAGATAAAATCTCATTAATCATGTCCATTTTCTGAAACGGACGTAATTCTTAATTTCTCTATTAATACAATTCATATATCTTCCTAAATAGACTACTAAATTATGGACAATAGTGAACCTAAGTAAAGACAAACTGAATTATTCTCTTTTTCAAACAATCTGTCAGCTCCTCCAGTTTTTCCCACATTGTACAAAGCAAGAAACTTCAAGCAGTAATACTTGCAAATAAGATACCAGACGTATAAGTTAAAAATATTTCTGAAAGCAAAGATCAACCAAGCAGTAAACCTTGCTAGAGGCTGTATATGGATAACATCCCTATCAAAAAACAAGTAACGGGTAATTTTATAGATTAACTATAGTTGTGGTTGGTTTTTGATGCTTACTAGTTAAGTCTGTTTCAAAGGAAACTAATTACTGATAATTCTCACCTAAATAAAAGCGCTAGTTTTTTAAAATTTTATAAAATACTGTTTAATGAAAAGAAAGGTGACAAAGAAGATAATGCTTGCTTTTAAAGGGTTGCTCAAATAATTTTTTTTATTCTTACCAAGATTTCACTTTTAAGAACATTTGAAAACTTAATGTATTGGATTCACTTGCTTGCATTCTTTGTCCAAGAACGCTACAAGAATGTACACACGCTTTTGTAATGAAGTCAAGATGGCTGAAGAAAGTTCTATTAATAAAATATCAGACTGGATCTCTGCGTATGGAAATAAATAGTTTATATCTAAGGTTGCAAATGTTTAAAAGCGTAACTGGCTCATAATGTCAAACTATACTTACCTCTGAGCATCAGGCTGGGAAATGGCATTGACAATAGCCTCCACAGCAATGTCGAACAGTTCTGGATCATGCAGAGAAGTGAAAGATGCTTGGATCAAGTTCTCACATTCCATCAAAGAAATCTCTAGTTGCACCCAACTGGAGAAACACTTCAGCACCTTCTGCTTAATGAAACCAGGAGAGTCTTGCTGTTGCAACAATTGTTCTAGCAGAGGGAACACAGATGTGCACTCCTGTGACAAGACACTACGTACCTGCCCCTTACGGTACTGAGGCAGACGACTGGTTTGGAATTCCTCAGGCAACACTGTCAGAAGTTCCAGTAGTGCAAGGCAGCGTGCTCGCCCATCTACATTAGAGTCCTCTGCCTGAAACATGCGTACCATGTCAGCAATAGCACATGGCCAAGCTTCTGGCATCATGTTCAGTGCTAATGAAGCCAATGCCACACAAAGGCGGGTCAGCACAATTTTGGAACCACTAGCAAAACGAGTTATGTGACTGAAGAGCTGTGATTTAAGGCTCTCATACTGGTCAGCAGGGATGTCATTCCAGTAGCGTGAAATCTTAATGTGGAGGGCACTGGCCCCAAAGTATTGGATCTCAGGCACCTTGTCCATATCAAGAAGCAACCAACTGAAGTGCCAAGCTTGTGGTGATACTTGAGCTTGCATCAGCCATTTCTGGGCCAGGTTCTTGTTTTCAATGTTGGGGTCATAATATAGCTGGTGGAGTGCCTAAAAAGCAGGAAACAATAAATGATTCAGTATTTTCTACATTCTCGAAACAACCTAGGATGGTAATGAATCAAACCCAAAATATAAAACTTCTCCATAGGATAGAGGGCTCAACAGGATAGTTGTCTAAAGACTGGTTTCTGTTGACCAGGCTTCAGATAAATCTTTGAATAAAAGTTCAATTTTACAACACAGGTATCATCTTTGTTCTTTCATTTTTGCATCAGTGGAGGGAACACATTGTTGTAATCAGAAACTAATATAAACACCAATGATTTATATAAGCAAGGACATCTAAAAAAGCTCAATTTCTCAGAAGATACTTGGGCTTCATGAGATTACTTACAGTGGAATACCATAATCTGGAGTGGAAAATATTTGTTATAATTTGACAAAAAAGGAAAAAGAAGTTGTTTGATACTGAATCAAATAAAGGAGGTTTGTAACAAAATGGGGAAGGAAGGCAAAAGAAGAGAGGCAGGTGGCAAAGGGAGGAAAAAAAACAAGGGGAAGAGATTCTGAACACCTCTCTTACCTTAATTTTTTTTTCTCCAAAATGAATTATAAGGTTTAAATCTTTAGATATCTCTCCTATCCATTCTATCTCCATTTTAAAATCAACTTGTTTTACAATGGTTAAGCACAACCTACAACGCAGTAGATATGTTGCTATCACTATGGAAAATCTGAAAATTAAAGTTTTTTCAGCTAAATGCAACATTTCATTCAACTACGGTATATAAGAGCTGCGGTGGTGCAGTGGTTAGCGTGCAGTACTGCAGGCTACGGCTGCTGACTGCCAGCTGCCTGCAATTTGGCAGTTCAAATCTCACCAGACTCAAGGTTGACTCAGCCTTCCATCCTTCCGAGATCGGTAAAATGAGGACCCAGATTGTTGGGGGTAATATGCTGACTCTGTAAACCACTTAGAGAGGGCTGTAAAGCACTGTAAAGTGGTATATAAGTCTAAGTGCTATTGCTATATAAAGTATTATTTTGTTTCTCACTTCCACATGAAAGAGCAGCTATCTGCCATCCTTCTTCACGAGATACATATAGGTAGTCCTCAACTTACAAACATTTCTTTAGTGACCATTCGAAGTTACAACAGCACTGAAAAAAGTAATTTATGACCAGGTTTCACACTTATAACTGTTACTGCATCCCCCATGGACACACATAATCAACATTTGGGCACTTGGCAACTGACATGTATTTATGACAGCTGCACCATCCTGGGATCACGAGATCACCATCTGTAACCTTCCCAGTCAATGGGGGAAGCCAGATTTACTTAACAGCCACAGGAATCACTTAACAACTGCAGTGATTCTCTTAATAACTGTGCCAAAAAGGTTATAAAATGGTATAAAACTCACTTAATAACTGCCTTGCTTAGCAACAGAAATTTTGGGTTCATGGTTGTAAATTGAGGATTACCTGTACATAGCCTATCCTATCCTATCCATCTATACACACACAGCATATATGTACCGGTATATATAATTTATTTCCATAGCAGGCCCCTATCAATAAAGAATAGTCAAATACTAATTTTTGGCTTAGCAGTTAAAAAATCTGTATCTTAAAGTCTCCAAAGAATAAAACCAGATATACAAAGCAAAATTGGATCACTACTGTTCAATGTATGCATATAGGTAAACAGAGATGATACAGGTTTACCCACCCCAACAGTCCGGTGGGAGGGGCATGTCCAGATTCCACTTATTAAGGATCTGTTGGACTCAGAAGACATGCCTTTTCTGTTGCAGTGCCTACCTTTTGGAACATTTCCCCTGAGATTAGGTTAGTTCTGACATTGCTGGCTCTCAGAAGGCCTCCAAGACCTGGCTGTTCTTCCAGACAAGGGGGTCAGGAATTTCATGAACTATGAGTTATTGTTATTGTTGATGGGCTTGGCCATCATGCTCTATTTATTTTTATTTTTTATTTTCCATGTTATGATTATAGTTATGGTTTTTTATTTCTGTTTTCACCCAGAGTCATTTGTGCAAGATGGGTGGCTATATAAATTGAATGAATAAACAATCAATAAGTTATTTACTGTGATTCAAAATAATCCTGCAAGATTCCAGAATGACACCTTCAAAATAGATAGAAAAGTAGATGGAATTCAAAACTGAAAAGCACAAACTGATGCAAAACAAAATGAGTATCCTAACATATATGTGCTGATGATCAAAGATTGCATTTCTCCCATGTTTTCTCATCATATAAGCAAAGCAGACAGCAATAGTAATTTTTTATTTTTATTTATTTATTTTTCAAATTTATATGGCCGCCTGTAGAGACTATATGTTGCAATGCTCAAATCTACAGTATATATTTCTAAGCTGATACGGTAGCCTTTACATTCCTTTACACTTTAACAGGGGAAGCAAGGCCACAACAGAACTATCAGCAGTGGTATTTTACCACTAATTATAAATGCTCTACAATTATCACATCAGCTTTATGGATATAGCCTGACAAGGAGATGACCTTCCTTGCGTTCAGTCTTTTGACTTACGTGATGGCTACAGAAAGGGGAGTCATAAGGAAGTCTGTAATTTGTGCTATTCTTGGACCAAGGGCAGAGACAGTAAGCATTGTAACATTATATCTTGTAGTAACCAGCACAGAACAGATTCCCTAAGCAACAGAGTGAGGTTTCTTCTGCACACAAATACCACTGGGACAGCATTAACCTTATGAGCACTAAACGCATGGTAAATTCATACTTCAGCTGTTGGGTAATGTTCTGGTTACCTGAAGCTTTACTCAGAATTAAAAAAAAACACAGGATAGATTTATTTTCTCAAAAATCAAGCAGATTGCACTGGATATACACCATGTATTGTTTAAGAGTTTGGATAAAAACTGATAGTTTCAGGTTTGAGTATTTAAGAAACAGCAGCAGCAGCAGTTGTTATAAGCTTTATAGATTTAGCAAACTGCTTCTTCCTTCCAGGAGAGAATAAGGCTTTCAGAGAGAAACAGGCTCCGACTCAACCCCTCCAAGACCGAGTGGCTGTGGCTTCCGGCGTCCCAATATAGCCAGCTGACGCCATCGCTGGCTATTGGGGGCAAATCACTCGCCCCCACGGAGAGGGCTCGTAACTTGGGCGTCCTCCTGGACGCACGGCTGTCGTTAGAAGATCATTTGACGGCCGTGGCCAGGGGGGCTTTTTATCAGGTCCGCCTGATACGCCAGTTACGCCCCTTTCTAGATCGGGACTCCCTACGCACAGTCACTCAGGCACTCGTCACTTCCCGCCTGGACTACTGCAATGCTCTCTACATGGGCTCCCCCCTGGGGTGCACCCGGAAGCTCCAGCTGGTCCAGAACGCGGCCGCGCGGGGGATTATGGGGGCGACGAGGCGCTCCCATGTAACACCTCTCCTGCGCGAGCTGCACTGGCTCCTGGTGGTCTTCCGGGTGCACTTCAAGGTGTTGGTGACCACCTTTAAAGCGCTCCATGGCTTAGGGCCGGGGTACTTACGAGACCGTCTTCTGCCACCAATAGCCTCCCACCGGCCAGTACGCTCGCACAGAGTGGGCCTCCTCAGACAATGTCGGCTGACGACTCCCAGGGGGAGAGCCTTCTCTGTGGCGGCGCCCACCCTCTGGAACAACCTCCCCCCAGAGATACGTACAATAACAGACCTCTGGATTTTTCGTCGGGCCCTGAAAACCCATTTATTTCAACTAGCTGGGCTGGCTTGAGTTAATTTTAATTTGATTTTAAATTGGGTTGTTTTAATTTATGGCCAAAATATTTAATTATTTTAAATTGCTTTTAAATTTTGTATGTATTGTTTTTTACTTTGGCTGTTCACCGCCCTGAGTCCTATTTTGGAGAAGGGCGGTATAGAAATTTAAATAATAAATAATAAATAATAAATAAAGTTGCTTTAAGTTTTAATAAAGCAAGAATATGTGAACTTGTTTCCTTGAAAGTACGGAGCGAATAACAAACGGAATCCTTATAACCAGAGTCCAAGGAAATAATAAGAGAAGGACACTGAAGTAGAGATCTATAATTGAAAACAGAACAAGTTCAGAAAGCCACACAAGGCCATTCCCCTCCCTTCATATTTTTCCCTGGAATAGCATGATACGTATTTAAGACACAGTATGGCTGGAACTAGTACAGCACACTGAAATAAATCTGATCTTAGGAGGCCAACAATAGACGATTATCTCCAACAGACTATGCATAGCTTTGTCGCTATTGTCTTTGCAGTGATTTCCACTTACTCCTTGAAAAGCATTCTGGGTCACTTTCCTACCTTGTCTCACTGACCCAGCATTATGATTTTCTCGGCAACCAATTGCCATCAAGCAACGGGAACCATAGCAACAGAAGCATCATCTTCTCATTCAGGCAAAGTCCTAGACCTCTTCACTATGGCACGCAAGGTGCAGACAATTGGAAAGGAGGAAGGAAGATCGCCGAGGATTGCCCTGGCTCTGCAGCATTTTTAACTGTTACCATAAATAAATCCTGTTATAATCGAAATCTTATTTGGGGCTAATATAGATACCTTTCTCCATGCATTTTGGCCTACTATCCACAAACGCTTATGTTATGTGTGTATCCCAAGCTGTCAGACGCAGTGTTCAACGATCAGTGCTATCTTCAAATACATTCCAAACCATAACAACCGTGGGATAAGAAAAGTATTGGCATTAATATGGTTAAATACAAATCAGTATCAGCAAGTATGACATTATGTCTGTTAGGTTAAAAAATGCAAACGTTACAATGTAATGGACAGGAGGAATAATTTGGGGAAACGGAGGAAGAGCAGCAACCAAGACAATGGTCAAATAAAATAAATTTAAGTCTGGGTCAGAAATATAATTTGAGAAAATGTCTCAGACATGTCTTTCCTTAGTTCTCATGAAGATAAAGCGAAGAGGAGGGAAGCGTTTTCAGACTTGCATGATTTTTTTATTATAATCTTATAATAAAAGTAGTATTAGCTTGTGTGTCTTCAGTCTCTAAGTTTGATCTATTTTGGAAGGCTGACACACATTTATGATAATAAAATTTGAACTATGGTGACTGACCAGAAAAGGGATTGATATTGTGATAATTAATTTGATAAAAATATAGAATGAACTAGCAACTGCTACCCAAAGGTTCATTTTATGTTAGACACAATAAAAATAGATCTGCAATATTATTATATTAGTTTTCTATGGCATTGCCATAATCTTAAAAAAAAATACAGTAATAGCTGGAAAAAATGGAAGAGCAGGCATAATTTTCTAGATGTTAGATCAATTTCATTATAATAAAAAGTTACAACTCAGGAGTGTTTTTAGATTTTAAAAAATAAGAGAAGAAAGCCTTCCTGCTGTGTGAGCAAGAAGGAGACAGGGAGGAGGCTGGGCGTGGCTTAGCTCAACTGTTCTGTAGTAAAGCTGCTTGCTGCTGTTTTAAAAGTAAAACTGAAAGTGAAACTCCTCTGCTTGTGTTTTGCATTTGGAACAGATTTCTTTTCAGGTGGGGAGGGGGAGTAGTACTGCTTAGCATCAGAGCGTGTTAATAATAATATAGGAAATACTAATGCTCTGATGGTCATTTTGAAAAATCCTTTCTTAGTGAGCACCTAGAAGCCAAGAGGAACATATGTGGAAAATTTCAAGTTTGTAGGCTTTACGGTTCTGGAGATTTCATGATTAATGCGTGAGTGGTTTTCGCTTTTACATATATAGATAATTATGTATAGCATGCATGATTTTTATACGGCCTATCAAATTTTTCAACTTTCGATTTCCAAACATCAGGGGTGCTCAAAAGTTGTGACATGCCTTGGGGATTGTAAAGATATTTTGGTTGCTTTAATATAATTTAGATATGCTTGATAAATAACTATATAAATATCATAACTTTTTCATATTTTGTTTGTTTCATTTGCAGGAGTCAATAAAGACATTCTTATCATATGATGGTAGAAAGTGAGTTCTTCCAATGATGCTGAATGAAAGGACAGATAAAAAGAAATACTTCAATGAAAGGATGTTATTGAAAGCCACATTATCCTCTGTTAATATTGTTACAGAGAATCTCAAATAAATATTTTTCTATCCCATTATATATAAACTATATCTTTAAACAAAACCTTAAAACACTATAATCCAATCCTGGTCAGAAAAAAGTCCATTAGAAATTAGCAACCTATTTATTTTAATTTTGGTCAAATAAACCAACTTTACATTCCTTCCTCTTGCTTTCAACAATACTAATCTTTAGTCCCTTCATATAGTGTCCAACCATTTGATTTCTTGTCATTTTTTCTTTGTCTCTTCACAAAATCACAGACAACATTAACAAATCCCTTTTGTAAATCCAGTATAGAAAGGTTATCTACGACACCCTTCTTGTCTACTATTTATATGTCTTTTTTAGTTATGAAAACATCAGACTCACAAGTAGATCAAACAGGAAACATGGCAAATGAACTAATTCTATTTATTGTAAGATTACATCAACAGAACCTTGCATGTCCGAAAGTACAAGTCTCCTGCTATATCTTTTTACCTCTTGATAAATTAGGATGGTTCCTTTCAAAGTTTATTTCTCTGCCCAATAAACAGTTGCGGGCTCTTCCCCCTTTTATCTGATCATTTCCATCTTCCAAGATTCTCATATTCCATTGCAGCCAGTTTCATTTCTATATTCAATATTTCATGTTGTTCCATATCTTTCTTTTAGCCTGTTAATTTTAAGTTCACTTTTGAATCCATTTTAGGCTTGTCCAGTAAAACATGTTGCATAATATCATTTAGTCTATCAATAATGGCAGAGATCTTTAAAGATAACTTCTGAATACATTATTCACAAATATCTCTCAGTGCATCCATTGTTAAAGGATTTTGCTCTTTTCTGCATTAGCAAATTGAGCTTAAGTGATCTTCCCCTTTAACAATAATCTTTATTTCTTTCTGGTGCACCTCTAATGTCTACCTTCAAGTCCCATTTTATCATGTTGTTTTTCTTCTGAATGCAAAAACATAGATTCCCAGAAGAAGAATTCTTTCGTTCCGTTTCATATTATTATTAAATCCATCAGAATAAGTGGTGTGGTGGCCTAGAGGTAAAGACTCTTGCCTCCCACTCGGAAGGTTGAGAGTTCAATCCTAGGCAGTGACAGATGTTTCTCTCTCAGGGCACAAAAAGAAAATATCTGCTGCAAACTCTACATAGGCATCAGGAAGGGCATCCAAGCAGTAAGCACTCAAATCCATTCTGTTGCCCCACTCTACCCCAAGTAAAGGGTTTACAGGGTGGTCAAAAGAAAAAAAAATAAATCCATTTGGACCTTTAAAATTCCTTTATAATATTCTAAAACCACCCTTTTGTTATTAATTAAAAACAGAATAAAATTCTTAACTTGTACTTAAAAACTTCTTTACTAAAGAATTGAAGGAAACTCATTCAGTGAATACCATAACACTTGCTATTCCAAAGGTACTCAATATTTAAAAAGCAATAAAAAGTTTATTTCAAAGTGATTAAGAAATGAGGTCCAGTGGTGGGTTCCTCCCAGTTCGGCCTGGTTCCGCTGAGCCGGTAGTTGTGACAATATGATGTCACCGAACTGGTTCTGGCCCCCCCTGCACCGCCCCTACATTATTCTTAGCTTTTATTTGGCCCCACCCCCAATCTATTGCTGCCTCCTGAGTCCCAGCTATCGGCTAAAGGGGAAAAAACTGTTTAAACTCTTGCCGCGGAGCTTCAAAGGGCCGCCCCTACAGCTGATCAGTGTTAAAAGAAAACAAATGAGTAGACCGGTGCCTGCAAATATAAATGGGTAGACCAGTATCTGCAAAAATAAAGGGTAGACCAGTGTCTGCAAAAATAAATGGGTAGACCGGTGCCTGCAAAAATAAATGGGTAGACCAGTGCCTCCAGAAACAAATGGGTAGACCAGTATAGCTCTGCAAGCAGTTAAAAGCCTGGTAGACCAGGACCTCTGCTAAATCCTAAAGAATTGTCACATGATCATCAAGCCATGCCCACAAAATAAGCCACACCCACAGAACTGGTAGTAAAAAAATTTAGAACCCATCCCTGGATCAGTCTAACCTTATCTTCTTAAAGGCTACATTATGCCTATGAGCTTTAATGGAATCCTCGTTTCACTATTGCTCAACTCACAAACAGATCACAAAAACATCAGTTCCTGCCATCTACTTATGAGAAGCTACTGTCTGGAGTATGTGTGATTAATCTCATGAGCTCTCTTTTCACCAGAGATTTTGGCAATCCTGGCATCTGCCCATCAATTTCAGCCATAGTGTCATCCTTACTTCTTCAGGGATGCCTTCAGTGCATCATGTCTTCACCAGAAGTCCTAATCCTTGTATTATTACCCATATTATTTCTATATTATTTTGTACTATTATATTATCATTACTATTACCATTTTTATTATATTTTATGCTTATTTATATTTACAGATTTTAGTATATGTGTTTCTATATATGCTATACATTCTGGCTGCAAATCTGCCTGTAATAAAGTTTTGATTTGAAAATGCCCTACTTAGGGAATTTCCCTGGTCTTGATTGGTCATTTTTCATGCCAGGTCTTTAGTCTAACATAGATGAAACATTCTTTGGACATTAATTTTATAACAGTATTATCTTCAAAGCCACTAAAACACCACTATAGCTGACTTCTTTCATCTTATTTTTAAATTTCTAATTTTTTAAAAAATCACAAAGTAGTTATTTTCAGGTAACTTTTTTAATGTTAGAATGTCAATACGTTTTTAAATGAATAGACTAGACTAGAGCAACTATCTGATACTGCACTAGAATTTCAGAGACAGCTCTTACCATGAGGCCAATCTGTTTAATACAATCTTCATTGTGATTTAAGGGATAAAAGCCCCATTATCTAAAAACACTGACATCTGGTAATACAAGAACCAAAGAAAAAACAGAACAAAAAAACCTCTATTAAACATAGTATCAAGAAAACAATTCACATGCCACTAACAATGAATTTCAGATATTTATGAATACAATGCACACCGAGCAGGACAAAGCAATAAATAAGCAGTAACTTCTTTTGCTGAAATTGTTCAGCATCCTATCTCTAAAAGAGCTTAGTAATGTATGGATTTCATTTTAAAAGAATTTTAGTATGCATTTATGCTAGAACTGTTGGCAGAAAAATCTGTTTATATTTTGGTCCCAGTAGTTCCATTCCAAAAGTGGCTTCACATTAGGCCATAACTCAGCCATAGCTTGCAAGAAAATGGACACTGGACTTTTTAAAAAAAAAGGTATTGGCATTCTTTAGTGATTGGTTCAGACATGCAAGGCAGGAACCAATAGTTCCTAAGTCAGAAATGGCCATTATATGAACATACAACAATCCCGTGACTTTAAGACCACCAAACACTGCACCAAACATCTGTTTATTTGGAAGGATGAAAATAAATCTCAATGTAAGCCTCTGAGAATATAAAAATAGTGAGTAATAAAATGCTCACTATAAAATACTATTCATAAAAATGAATCGTAAGCAATTAACAATTGTGCATAGCTTCATCTTTATCTGCAGTAAATATTTTAATCAAGGCAAACCCCGTTCAGGAGTTTTAAGCCAATTCAAGCTAAACAGATGAGTTGAGCCAAGAAGTGTCAGAAGATCTATGATTTGCTGCCAAGCCCTTGTTGGAAAGCCTAACATTTACGAACTCAGATTTTTATTTGAAATGAAATACTGTGATGTCCTGAACATTCGAAGAAACCTTAATCTTTCCCAAGTTCCACTGAAGCAAGGTGCAAAATATGCCCCAATTGCTTACAGTATATGGAAAAGTCCTTCCAGAGTATTTTGGCAACAATAAATTAATGGCAACATTGTTAAAGAGTCAAAGAAGAAGGTTCACTTATATTTTATTCCCCAGTATATTGTTCTGAAGGCAGCTGTCTCAGCTGTCACATCATCTAGTCCTGAAACTCAGTACCTTAAATTAGAAGTGATGGAAACCAACCTTCTTTTTCTAGGGTAACAGCATAAATGTGAATTCTTAGATTATCTAGCCTCAACTGGGAAATCCATACATTGCTACATATATATGCCCACAAAAGAAACAGGAATGATTGAAAAGCTTCAAAAACAAAGTTTTAGAAAGAAGAACCGGAAAAGGAAGAACAAAAGAATAATCTTGAAGCAGAGATGCATGATATTTGGGCCGGCAACAAAGCCAACACCACCAGAACATTTTCAGCTAAAATATTAAGACAACAAAAAATGTGAGTTTTCTACCTGCTGCTGAATTTAGTTGGAATTTCCCAAACTTTCAGTTCAATTTAGTTCTACAATGTCAGTTATTATGGAAAGGAAAGTGAATATAAAGGATGAAATTTTATTCAAGTGCCTAGAATATTCCATAGGCTGCAACAAGCAGAAGATATCTCATGCCATTTCTCTTGTAAGTAAAAAAAAACAAAACCTATTTTAATTGAGCTGTGATTGGGGTAAAATGATTCATTGCTTATAAAATCAGAAAGCGTATTCTTGATAATACAAAGCTTTATTACAAAGTATTACAAGAATCTTTATACATGTTCTCATCTACAGGCTCAAAAGAAGATAGTCCCAAATCATTTCTGCAGAGTTACTGATCTAAAACACATACTTGGAATTTAAAGTACTGAAAGAAAATGCAATTCCAACCCAAGAATATTCCAGAATACATGTAATAACTTGGAATTTTGTGCTAAGCTATGGAATGGAAATGGAAAAGTTCTGGCTTCAATTAAATATCAATCTTTAAAATAATCTGTATCAAATATATATATGCATATTCTTTCTAGCCAGGTTTTACCTATGTAAACTAGGTTGTTCTGCCGCCCTGGTTCTGCCGCCAACCTAGTTTACGTAGGTAAAACCTGGCTAGAAAGAATATGCACATAAAAGCCTACGAAAAAGAAAAAGACATATAGATATATATATTCAATTTTTAAGCTTTTTTAGACTTCCACCAAGCATGAGAAAATGTCCCTTCATGTTTTTCACATTTATAACACACACATTAAAAGCTTTTATACACTGAAATTGCAGCTATGTCATAAATCATATCACTATTGGGTGATCCTTCCCAGAATTTCTCCCTAACAAATACAAGTCAGTAAATCTATTGGATTACTTCTTTCCCCTAAATCTGATATATGTCCAATATGCAATGTTGTCCTCTCAGTCAGAAGACAATTATAATTCAAAAATTAATAAATGAACCAAAATAGTATTTGCTAGCAGCAAATACAGACATTGTTAAAATAAAGGTGTGTCTTTTTAGTTGCATTTCTTCCATCCTATTACTTGAACTTAATTAGTCTAAATATTTAATATAGTGAAAACAAAAATGAGAAGCTAGTTCAAAATCTAGTTAGCCCTATTCTATCATCTCGGCAAAAATGTGCGTGTCGGCCTCAACTAACTTCTCACACTGCAACACTTTCTATAGCTAGAAGTTCTAGATTCATGTTGAAACAAAATTACAAGAATACCCACAAAGAACAGAAGAAAAGAAGCCTGTTAAGGCATCTGAAAGTGTTCTCCTAGAGCATCAGGTTCTGCATACAGCAAGGAAGACTCAAGCTGAAAACAGACACATGGCAGATTCAGCAGGATTTGCTACAAAGATTTGTATCTTGACCCCAATTCCCTAATGCTCCCTGCAGTATAAATTGGGCACTGAATTCAGCCCAGTACTACATAGTTCCCTGCAGAAAGGGCTCACATTTTTCCACAGCTGGTTACCCAACTGTTGTCCTTATAGTGCAAGCTGTGCTTCACAGGAAAGCTTCATACTAGGCAATGCCAGACAGTAACGCAAAACCCTCTTTGAGACAGAACTGGGGGGGGGACGTGGGAGGAGCCAAAAGATCTTTCAGAGATTGCTGAGGCCACTTCCAGCTAGGGCAGCAGCTATTCTGCAAGACCCCATGGCTGTAACTTCTACATATCCACTTCCCCCACCACTTACAGAGCTAATCACCCCCTGGAGTGTCCTGACCTTTCCTGATGTCAACATTTGTTGTATTGTCAATGTACACAAAAGAACTGCCTAGGCCTTCTCTCCAGGGGAAATGATGAAGCAGCATTACCCAGGAGGAGATCAGGCAACAGAAGCCGGTCCTGCCTATCACATAATCTTGCAGAATGCTGGAATCTTTAATTTATATGCCCTGTGCAAATGGCAGAATGTAGTAATAGAGTTTCAAAGTTCAAACTAGGCATCTGCTATCTGATCATATACCTATCAAAATCAAAATGTTTTATAGGTGGCATTTAGATCCTAAGAAATTATCGTGTATGTATCCTAATGTTCAACCAAAATGCTGGAGATGTGATTGCTTAGATGCCACATATTATCATATGTGGTGGACTTGTAAGAAAGTGAAGGCTTTTTGGATAAAAATTTGGTGGGTTATGCAAAATGTTTTGAAGAAAAAACTTCAGTTTTCTCCACAACTGTTTTTATTGGGTATAGTTAAGGGTTTTACATTGGGTGAAACAAAGCTGATATTGCATATGGTGACAGCAGCGAGATTATTGATAGGTCAATATTGGAAAAATGATGCTATGCCCACTATTGAAGAATGGACTTTGAAGATGGCCAGTTTTGCAGAGATGGCGAAGATTTCAGCATATCTAAAAGACCGAACTCAAGAGACTTATGTATGGGAGTGGAAAAAGTGGATAGATTATGTGCAGAATAAATATCAAACCAGGAAATATCAGATAGCTTTTAGCTGAATGTATTATGTAGGGATAGATTAATTGAGTTTTATGAAGGTATAAATAGTATACAGGGGGTGGAGGGGTTTAAGTTTCATAAAATGTATTTTTGATTAGGATTTTATCTTGTGGAAGTCTTGGGGGGAAAAGGGGAGGGTTAGGGAAGGTCTGGGAGGGGAAACTGGGGAGAAAATGTATTTGTAAAACTTTTCAAATAAAAAAAAAAATCAAAAGGGAATCAAACTAGGTGTTTCTAACCACAGTTTGTAACTTGCTGAAAAGACAATACTTGAAAACAAAAAGAATCCAACTAGTGAACTCCTACCTAAGGCCTGAACAATACAATAAACCAATGTAGGGTATTGTACAACAGAAAGTAGCTACTTTAATGCTGCTGGGAATACAATGAGTATTAAAGGCAGATAGATTAAAGTATCTTGAATTAAATCTGCCTAAATAGTTCAGGTAGAATGCAGAATATTTTTCAAAGCTAACCAAGACATGAAATGGGTTTTCTTTAAATGAAAGACCAATTTCTATCTGCATTTAACCTTAGAATAAGTCTTCAGTGTGCTTCCTGAACCTTTTTTTTAAAAAAGAAAAATGTACCTCAACTTTGCAAATTATACATTAGTTTGTCCTAAATATGGGGAAAGGATATCCTTGAACCTTCAGAAATGTATTAAAGCACTCCATCTTCACTTCCATTCAGACATTAACAGTCATTAATCATTCTATATTTATGACAGTCATAAAACCTAATAATTTGTTTTATAATTCAAAGACTGGGATTCTCATTTTAATTCTATATCCATTCAATGCCCTGTTTTTATTAGTCCCCATTCCTATCCTTTTCTACTTGGAGCATAATCACAGAACCTGCTTATATTTGTAAACACAGAATTTCCCACTTTCTTCTTAATACTCATTTTATAACCTAGTCATCACAGCATATTGTAATTAGGCATCTATTTTCACTTGGATGCTATAAAAATTAGTTAAGTGGTATAAAGTAGTTATGATTAGAATGGGTTCTTCAATTAATTTCATGTCAGTCATGAATTCAGTAGGTAATTTTAAATAAGCCATTCTAGGGAATGTCTGCCTTATAGGATTATTTTTCTGAACATTTGGAAAATCAATAAAACATTAATTACAATTTTTGCTTTTATATTTTTTTCAAGAAAAGCATCACAGAGAAATGTAGATAAGATCATATTAAAGATGACAGTTGCTCCAGACTAGGTGCCAGGGCCTGGTGGCTCAGCAGACTGATTGCATTGTGATTAACACCAGCTGTCTGCAATTACTGTAAGTTCGAATCTCACCAGACTCAAGGTTGACTCAGCCTTCCATCCTTTCTAAGGTAGGTAAATTGAGGACCCAGTTTGTGGGGGCAATAAGCTGACTTTGTATAAATATACAAAAGTATGAAGGCTATTGTTTAACGCATTGTAAGCCGCCCTGAGTCTCTGGAGAAGGGCGGCATATAAATCAAATTAAAAAGAAAAAAAAAAGACTAATCTATTTGACAGTGACACTGTATACAGGTAGTCCTCACTTACAAGCACAACTGAGCCCAAAATTTCTGTAGCTGAGACCGTTAAATTAATTTTGCCCCATTTTACAACCTTTCTTGTCACAGTTGTTAAGTGAATCACTGCATTTATTAAATTAGTAACAGGGTTGTTAAGTGAATCTGGCTTACCCATTGACTTTGTCAAAAAATCGCAAAAAGGGATCACATGACCCCAGGACACTGTAACCATTGTAAATATGAACCAGTTGCCCAGGATCCAAATTTTGATTACATGACCAGGGGAACGCTGCAATGGTTGTGTGAAAAATGGTCATGTCACTTTTTTCAGTGACATTAACTTTGATGTTCACTAAATGAACTGTTGTAAGTCAAGGACTACCTGTAGTTTTTACTGAATCAGGATCATGAAACTGCCTTTCAGAAAGATCAAATAGTGTAGAATTGTCTACATTTTCCCCATCTACTGACGAGTAACTTCAAATTTCTGAAGTGAAACCATGCTCTCTTCACTCTAACAGTGACTGGTAGTAATGTACAGAGCAAAAACAGGAACTTTAAGAGATATAACATCAGAGTAGAGATAAATGTAACATTTGGGTCTTTTATCAAATCTTTCCATTCTCTTGAAGAAATCATGCTGGAATGCTTCATTATTTCCACAACTAGTACAACAGTTACCACAACTAGCTACATGAGTTTCACATATAAAAATAAGAAACTGCAGTTTTAAGGCCAGTATTTTTTTTTCTATTATGACTTTCCCAGTATAACCTCAATAAATTCAATTATTAATAGTGTTAATGTAAACAAAACACGGTGAATGATAAATACAGCAAAAAGCATCCCTAAAAACTTTTCAAATGTCTGTATCAGTTACTGCCCGGAACCAGAGTGAAAGACACACCCATGTTCAAGTTGATGTCAACCAAAACGGCATCACACTTCACTATTAGTGAAATGACTATGAATTAGAAAAAAATGCATGTGACAGATACAGGTAAAACCATACAAGAAAGATAAAGCAGCAACAAAAGAACCATGTCTGAGAGAAAAATTCACCTCCCAGATTTCTAAATCTTTCTAAATACCTGTGTTTTCTACAACCAGAGGAATTGTATACCTGAAACTCTTGAAGAACAAAGAGTTTGCTGACCCATGCTGGGCTCAAAGGAGTGGACAGGATCTATTCTAGCAATATAGACAGGACAAAGCATCACTTCTCTAAGGCGGCAGCAGCAACAGAATAATTTTCTTTCCCTGTCAGATTCATCCTGAAATTACTTACTGGGAAGTGATAAACAGGAAGGATCGAAAATTTTAACCAAAAAAAAAAAAAAAAAAAAATTCAAGACAGCTGCTTATTCAAAGTGGAACACAATCCAGTGGATTTTAGGGATCACACTACTGTAAAGAAAATGCAGAAGAGGACCATGCCAGGGATTGGTAAGTTATCCTGAAGATGATGAAGATGGAGCAGCAGGCCTGCTGACTAGGGGAAGGGCAGGTCTACAGTAACTGGAGAAAAACCCGCTTGTGGCAGAAAACCCAGGGGAGAATATCCGAAACTCTCCTCCATCCCACCCGAGGGGTCACAGCACCCCGCAAACCGCACCCGGCAAGTGTAATTCAGCCCCCCCCCCCCCCCCGCCCCCCCCCCCCCCCCAACCTGGGAGCGCTGCTCTCACCTTCTCCACGTTGTCCACGTTGAATTCCAGATTTTGCTGGAGGTGGAAAGCCGGGTCCCCTCGGCGCTCCATGGTGCCTCCCTCCCTCCCACCCACCCCCCAAACCCGGAGCCTTGGTCCTCTTCCTCGCCCTGGGCTCTCAGCTAGAGCGGGGCAGCGGCATCGTGAGGAAGAGGATGGCGGGAGGCGGAGGCAGGAAAGGGGCGCCTATGCAGGGCGGGCGGGCGGTCTGTACTCTTTCAGAGGGGCGGGCGACCCTTCGCCTGTCTCCGCAGAGAGGTTGGGCGCATGGCTCAGCCTGGAGATTCCTCCCCAATGAGTCCCCGGGGTGTGGGGGGGGGGAGTTGGGGTGTGGGGGGGGCGTCTATCGGCTTGTCTGCAATAGAAGGAGGGGCAAGGCTGTGCTGTCTCCGGCGGGGCCAAGGGAGTGAATGGGCAGGTTTTTATACCTGCCTCTCCTCAATTAGGGGAAAGGGAGGAGATCTCCCTCACCAGGTGAGTGAAACGCGCCCGCCTTCGGACGAATGAGAGGGAAAGCGATAACAAATCCCTAATTTGCTCGAGGGAGGGAAAGGATCCTTCGGTCCGCCTGCCCTTTAATGGCGGAGGGAGTACCGGTCCATCTCACAGCTGAAGGATAGGCGTCTTGCCTGCCTGCCTCCGCCTCCTCCTGGCTCGCCGACCCCTCCAATCTGCAGTCGGCGAGTCGGTCTCCCTGGCTGAGGCGGTAACCACCGCCGCCACCTCCCCTGTCGCGCAGCCCGACTAGCTGTTGACTGACAGTTGGGCCGGGCGATCCAAATGGAGAAGGAGAATGGGGTCCTGGCGCGCTACAGGGTGGTCCACATCAAACGCCGTCTGCCGGGTAGTTAGTCAATCGCCCTTCCATTCAGGCAACAAGGACACCCTTGCCGGTCTGCGGAGGACCAGCCTCCTTGCGTTGGATCACGGGAATTGTAGTTCTAAGTCTGATCGGCGCGATAACGAATAGGGCAAGGGCAATAATTGATGGGAGTTGTAGTTTCAGGCAGACCGTGTTTCTCTTCCACCCACTCTCTGGGGGATAAAATGGCGTTTGATACAATGATGTGATGAGCCGTGGACCTTTAATAACTACTAGGGGGGATGTTTGGACAAAAGTCCTGGATTGTCGTCACACGTTTTTATTTTAATATGTATTAACGTTATACGTTTATTGTTTCCCCTCTCAACGTCTTCGTTGCTTTCTAGTTCTATTTTTCGGTCTTGCCGTTTTATCGTTACCGTATTTGGTTCCTTTGAAGAAGAAGCAGGATTAAAAAGATGGATCATTGAATAAAGCAATCCAAAGTTTTCTACCCGAGGTACAAATGGCCAGGATCAAATTATCACATTTTGGTCCCATTACGTCGTGTTTCTCTGAAAAAGGCTCTAATATGAATAGGAAAGGTGGAAAGAAAGAGAAGAACAGGGCGAACCAGCAGCAAGGTGAATGGACACAGTTATGGTAGCAGTTGCTGGAAAACCTGAAGGAGCATGTTAGGCGCAGGTCATCATAAAGAACATCTCTCTATACTGTTGCTAAGAGTTGACACCAACTTGATGGCATATAATCAGCCATCAATCATTTTATTCCCTGGTTTCTTTTGCTGTTCTGATGTAGCTTGTAACAGCAATGAAGTACTTATTTTAACAAATGCAGGGTTAGCCCAGTCATTTATTATTATTATTATTATTATTATTATTATTATTATTATTATTATTATTATTATTATTAATTCAATTTGTATGCCACCCCTTTCCCAAGACTCAGGGCAGCTCACAATGCATTTAAAATCATAAAAACATTTAAGAATTAAAAACATTAAAACTCATTCACACCATTCATGGCCGGGTCTCGCCGGATCGCAAGAGTGAGATCAACGGCCCCAGGCTTTCCACGCTAGATAGGTTGGATGAGTAGGGGACTGCCTCTAACTGCAGGAGCAAAGTTGGCCAGGCTTCTTCCAAATGTTCTGAGTTCCCTGAACAAGGCTGCTGTCTCCTGTGTGAGGTAGACATTGAAACAGCTCTGCCAGCTTTTGCATATGGTTGGCTGTTTGCCTCAGACAGCAAAATATATAACGCTGCTCTGCTGAGTTCCACACAGTAGCTCAGAGATGCTTAAAGGAGCTCTCCAAATGTGTGCATCCTAAAGTCTCAGGTTCACATGCATTGGGTGAGCACCCCCAACTTCCAAAAGCTTTTAATCAGTTGCAGATTTCCAAGTGGCAGAAGATGTAAGTTACACAATAGCAAAGCAATCATTTAAATTTTACTTACTTTTTGTCTGATTTGACTAGGGAATATAGTAAAACAAAAATTAGTTTTTATTCTGATCCCATCCAGTGCAGTTTTAGGATGAAATATTGGCACCATCAAAACCCAAGTAGGACCCCTGTCCCAGAAAAAAATTGCACCCCTTAGCTAAACTAGACTCCATAAATAATTGGTTTTATATAGTGTTTCTAATCTGCTCTCAAGAGTTTTTGAACTACCGCATCCATCATGACAAATCATGATGGAAATTGTAGTCCAGTTTAAGATATAAATGACAGAGTTATAAGCCTTCTGATTGGTTAAGCAAGTTATGTCAGTTATCCATTTAGACCAGTGATGGCAAATCTTTTGGATACTGAGTGCCCAAACTGTGCACGTGCATGCCCAAACTGAAATGTGTGTGCACACGCACAAATGTGTGCGCCAACATGCGCGCATGCACGCACCAACATGCACACAGGCGCAACAGAGACCTGAAGACCAGCTGGCTGGCGGGAGGTAGGGCATCCCAACACCAGCAGCGCAGCAAGAGATAAGATCTTTTTCTTTCATGGGCTTCTGTTTCGTCGTTTGGAGGAAAACAGAAGCTCATGAAAGAAACGCCACAGAGATCTGACCTGGGGCGATGGCACGAGTGCCAGAAGAGGGGGCTCTGCATGCCACCTTTGGCACACGTGCCATAGGTTTGCCATCACGGATTTAGACTGTTCTCATATTTTTCTTTTATTTTATAATGAAAAAGGAAGAAAGAGCAAATGTAAAGGAGTGCAATTTCTTTTTGTTCCCTACCTTTAATTTATATAGAAGGCACAAGGACTGCATTTCTCCTTGTATTATATTCATCTGCAAATAAAACCACCTCTCTATAAGCCAATGGAATTGTTCTGGCTTTTTTTTTTTTCATCCCTTCAGAAGCATGGAAAAAATAGCACTACAATAAAAAATTACAAGTACATTTCTTGTTGCAGGGTGTGATTAATATATATCCTGGGAGTGAAATTATTGTATATCATTGGTCAGCTAATATGACAGAATATCTTTTGCAGTGATGGCTTGATTTGGTTCTTTTAAGGGGTAGGACATTGTAGAGATTATAAATATAATATATGTCAATATAATTACAGATAGTCCTTGACTTACAACCATTCCTTTAACAATCATTCAATGTTACTATGGCACAGAAAAAAGTGATGTACCATCAGTTTTCACATTTTTGACCAACTCAGCATCCCCAGTCATGTCCCAATAATCACATAGGCAAAATTTGGGTGTTTGGCACCTGGCATGTATTTACAATGGTTGCAATTCCTGGGGTCATGTGATTGCCAGTTATGACTTTCCCAGCTGGCTTCCAACAAAGTTGGGAGAAGGTGGATTTGCTTGATTACTGCACAATTTACTTAACAACTGCAGCGATTTGTTTAACAACCATGGCAAAAAATCAGTTAAAGCTCACGTAACCATTGCCTTGCTTAGCAATGGAAATTCTGGTCCTAATTGTTGTAAGTCAAGGAGTACTTGTACAGATACAGGAAAAAAGTTATTATGATTATTATTTCAGTTTTTATGACAACTTTTAAACATTTAAAGCATAGTCGAACCAATTGATTAAACCAAACAAGGTATTTTTATGTGCGTGGGCATAAAGCAGCAGTTCTCAACCTGGGGGTCGCGACCTCTTTGGGGGTTGAACGGCCATTTCACAGGGGTCACCAAAGCCCTCTCTTGCCCCCCCCATGCCTTCACTCACCCTCACCCTCTGCCTCTGTTGGATCGCCGGTTGCCGGTCGCTTACCCTGCCCACTCCCAATCTATTGCTGCCTCCTGAGTCCCAGCTGATGGCTAGAGGGAAAAAAACTGTTTAAATTCTTGCCGCAGGGCTTCCAAGGGCCGCCCTACAGCTGATCAGTGTTAAAAGAAAACAAATGAGTAGACCGGTGCCTGCAAAAATAGAAAAAACAGCCCCTTTCAGCTTCAGCATAGATTAATTACCATAAGTTGATTTGATCAGCCTCCCAACTCTCAGCTGATTTGCTCTCAGCTGTTTTGCAGAGGGCTCTGTTGCTAGCTAGCTGCAAAGAGGTAAATTGCTGGAGATTTTTTTCCCCCTAGCTATGCTGAAAAAGCGAAACTGAAAGTAAAGCAGGGTCTTTGCTGCAATGTGGCAAAATGAGGCAGAGAGAGATTTCTTTTTCTTTTTCCTCACCAAAAAAGGTAGGTGCAAAACTGCAAACAATGGGAAATTTAGGGCAAAAGAGGAGGTTCAAGATTTTAAAGCAGAAAAGAAAAAAAGCTCTATTTAACTAGGGAATTGTAATAATTGAGATACTATTAATTGTATATTGTGTTGAAAGCAGAAATGATTAAGTTGTGGTTTGGAGGAATATATGGGGGAAATTATTTTATTTATTTTTATTTATTTATTTTCAATTTATATACCGCCCTTCTCCCTGAGGACTCAGGGCGGTGCACAGCCAGAATTAAAAACATGAAATACAAATATTAAAAACAATTAAAATCTATATAAATTTGGCCCAAAATTTAAAAAACCACAAACCAATTAAACATTTAAAAATTTTAAAAAATTTCTTCCTAAGCCAGCCCGGCTTGCTGGAAAAAGTGGGTTTTAAGGGCATGGCGGAAGGCACTGAGGTCTTGGATTCTCCTTATCTCTGGGGGCAGCTGATTCCAGAGGGTAGGTGCCCCCACAGAGAAGGCTCTCCCCCTGGGGGTCACCAGCCTACATTGTTTGGCTGATGGCACCCTGAGGAGGCCCTCTGTGGGAGCGCACGGGTCGCTGGGAGGTCGTCGGTAGCAGCAGGCGGTCTCGAAGATAGCTAGGCCCTATGCCATGGAGCGCTTTAAAGGTGATAACCAACACCTTGAAGCGCACCCGGAAGACCACCGGGAGCCAGTGCAGCTCGCACAGGAGCGGTGTTACATGGGAGTGCCATGCTGCTCCCATCACTACCCGCGCTGCTGCGTTCTGGACCAGCTGGAGCCTCCGGGTGCCCCTCAAGGGGAGCCCCATGTAGAGAGCATTGCAGTAGTCAAGGCGAGAGGTGACGAGGGCGTGAGTGACTGTGCACAGGGAATCCCGATCAAGAAAGGGCCGCAACTGGCGAATCAGGCGAACCTGATAAAAGGTCCTCCTGGTTACAGCCGTCAGATGTTCCTCCAAGGACAGCTGCATATCCAGGAGGACTCCCAGATTGCGAGCCCTTTCTGTGGGGGCCAAGGACTCGCCCCCAATAGTCAGTGATGGAGTCAACTGACTATATCAGGATGCCGGGAGCCACAGCCACTCAGTCTTGGAAGGGTTGAGCTTGAGCCTGTTCCTCCCCATCCAGATCCGGACAGCCTCCAGGCACTGAGACATCAGTTCAAGGGCATCGTTGGGGTGGCCTGGTTTGGTTTGGTTTATTTGGTTTATTATTATTGGTAAATATAATTAATTGATTTGTAAGAAATTGGATTGCATGGAAATAATTGGAATATTCATGTTCATATTGATTAATATACAAAAAAGATAGTTATATAACTAATTGATTTATATTAAAATGTTGAATTTGTATTAAACAACTGTATTACATAATTACATAATTAACCAATGTGAGGATGGATATAAAAATAGATGACAATGGGAAGGGGTATAATATAGAATAGAAGGGAAAAATTGAATTTGATTAAGATTAGAGATGAGGATGAAGGGTAATATTGGCTTTTTAAAAAAATAGATGAATAAATATGGCAAAAAGGAAATATAGAAATTGTAAATTTAATTGAAATGACTAAACACAGTTTAAATTTGTGAACCAGCCAAATACTCTGTTCAAAGAAAATACATTGTATGTTTGTATGTTTCTAATTATTGCAATTTATTCATATTTGTTCTCTTTTATTCTTTAAAGTTTAACAATTCATTCTTTATCTTAATATCTTTATATTTGTTTGGGGTTGGCTTTCTTCCCTTTCATCTTTTTTATTGTACAGCAATCTTTCTCCTCAAACCTACCACCTCTCTCTTTTCTTTCCTTCTTACTTTCTGTTCCCCCCCCTCTTCTTCTCCTCCCTACTTCCTCTTCCTTTCTCCTTCTCCTCCTCCCTCTCTTACCCTCACTCCTACTATAATTTCCCTTCCCTTCCTTCATCCCTCTCTAATGCTGTATCCTTTTATGCATATGGACTACTCAGAGGGCTGAAAAAGTTATTTTTGACTGGTCCTCGCACTTTTGACCAGTCCTTGAACTTACGACTGTCCTCACATTTTACGTTTTTGCCCTATCTTGTCACCACGGTGAAGAGAAGCAGTTGTGAAATGAGTGACACGGTTGTTAAGAATGCTACAATGGGCATAAATGATGACCAGTCATAAGTGCGAAGACCGGTCAAAAGTGCAAGGACCTGTCAGAAATCACTTTTTTCAGTCCTCTGGGTAGTCCTTTTGTGCACATGGACTACTCAGAGGGCTGAAAAAGTTATTTTTGATTGGTCCTCGCACTTTTGAGCAGTCCTCGAATTTATGACTGTCCTCACATTTTACGTTTTTTGCCCTATCTTATCACCATGTGAAGAGAAGCAGTTGTGAAATGAGTGACATGGTTGTTAAGAATGCTGCACGGGCATAAATGTGAGGATGGTCATAAGTGTGAGGACCAGTCAAAAGTGCGAGGACCTGTCAGAAATGACTTTTTTCAGCCCTCTGAGTAGTCTGTATACACATAGCCACGGCCACCTGGTCACATGACCAGCTAGCCACACCCACCCGGTCACATGACCTCCAAGCCACGCCCACAAAATAAGCCACGCCCACAGAACCGGTAGTAAAAAAATTTAGAACCCACCCCTGGTTGGGGGTCACCACAACATGAGGAACTGTGTTAAAGGGTCGCGGCATTAGGAAGGTTGAGAACCACTGGCATAAAGGATGGCATTTACTTCACCACCTGATTTGGCAGATAATTATTAGGGTTAACATCTACTGTATGTAAAGATAGATGGTGCAACCTTGCTGCACAATAGTTTCAAATATAAACTGTTCAAATATCAAATGTTTAAGCTACATACAGCTATATTGCCAAGCTAGCCAATGACATGGTAAAAAGTGTGAATAAGCACTCGACTGGCAGCTTCTTTATAGACAAAAGTATATGTAAGCCCATGAAGCATCACTGACTTTTCTGTATGAAGCTGCAGATTAGTCCCTTGATTATTTATGAATTATAAATATACATTGTGCCTTTAATTAAAAATCAATTGGATGAGACCTGATCACAAAGGCTTCAGGTTTAACGAGGAAATTAGGCAGCTGTCAGGATACCCCAGAAGCTAAGCCATAATTATAAGGCCAGCATTTCTATGCTTCAGAATTTAGATAACCACTATGTGACAGCAGAGTAATACAGAAAATGTCATCTAGCAGCTGTCTGGATTTTTTTTCAACCCAGATATGGTACAGTATGCCTAATAAATGTGTTAAGTTTTTTGAGTACCAAAAATAGTTTTTTGTCACAAACTAATATAGCTGTCTACCTGAGTATTTGGGATATTGGGCTAGTAGTACTGACTTTTAACCAGTAATCACATGGCCAAATTCAAAGGACTGATGTGATGATGAAGGTTCCCTGAAAGAAAGAACTCCCTTATTGCTCTCTTCTAACCAGCCTGTCCCTGGCCAAGAAGGGAAATCTTTTAAATCTGTAAAGTGAAGGAATGTTAATTAAAATTGTGCTTTTTAAAAATATTCTGAGAATATTTAAGAAGAAAAGGAAAATTTGTAAAAGTGTTCATTGTTGTTGTATGCCACCTTTTGAAGGAGGATGGATTTGAGTCAGCATTGACTTCTGGTGACTGCCTGCCCTGGGCACATCCCTGCAGTATTTTTGGCAAGATTGGTAGTCTAAAGCAGGGGTGTCAAACTCATGTCGTCACATGATGTATTGGGACATTTTCCCCCTTTGTTAAACCGGGTATGGCCAGCGTGTGATGCATCTGGCCCACGGGCCGGGAGTTTGACAGCCCTGGTCTAAAGTGACCCTTTTCATCTTTCCCTCATATATGAGGGAAAAAAGTTAAATTTTCAAACTTTATTTTCCAAGTATGTTTATAGTAGGTGTTATAGTCAGATTTCGATATTGGGGAACATTAAACTAGTACGCTATTAAAATGTAGAAATAGTGTATTTTAAACTTTTCAGAGAAGCAAAGATATCTAGAGATACTTTTTTAGTATTTGATAATGTTTTATACTGCTTTATTTGAAACCTTAAGCAAAATTTGACTCATATAAATTGTAGAATTATATTTAATAATTGGGATTTCTTATTGTTTAGTCCCCTCCCATATAAGCATACACATAAGCCAAGTTTGTATTGCTTTTGCAGGCTTTATTGCTACAGGAAGTTGTTGTTGTACAAAAATAGAGTTTATCCCAATGCAAATAGAGGACAAAGAATACAAAATCAAGAAAGGAGGAATAGGAAATGCCCTTGTTAAGGCCAAGTGGGGAAAGGGGGTGGGGTGGGGGGAATAGGAATTGCTGATCCTAGGGCATAGCATCAGTTTCTAATGTATACCAGACCCGCTGTCAGCTTCATAAATAGGTTGCCACTAGGGAATGAGTGGGGTACAAATAAATAAATAACTTATAGAATAAATAAGTTGGATTAGAAAATTTAAACTTTTTAAATAGGTTTAGAAAATGTCACTTCTAAAGCAGGTGGGTTCCCACTCTGCTGGTACTAAATAATGGTTGAACCGGAACTGCTGCTTCCATTGCCAGCCTGGTAAGTGCAGTAGTCAAATTCCAAACCATTGCTAGTGTGGCTGTGCATGTTGCACACCAGTATGCCACTGCCATCACTTGCTTTATACCAAGCCCCTTTTCTACCTGCAGAGGCCTTGACTGTGCTTCCACATCTGGCTTGCAAAAATCCTGATAACTACTAGATAGCATCAACCTTCCTTAACCCAGATCTGGTAGCTCTGAGAAACACATCAAATTTGTCCTTTCGTACATCCATACCATTTCTGCTAAGGATAGGCTCTCACCTGAAAAATTCTCAGATGAGGCTGATGGTTGTAATCATCAAACTTCTCCCAAACAAACCAGAATGTTATTCAATCCTCAGATAATGCACTGATTATTCTAGCACAGGTCACAAGGTTGGAGCGACCACTGAATGTTCAGGGCACCAAATAGGCTTGCAAAATTGTCCTTCATGCTTATCCACAATTGTTCCTACCTAGATGCAGTCAGAACATGTTTCTAAAGAAAAGGCAGATGGTGGGCTCAAATAAAATGGGAGAGAATTGCAGAAGATGACATGACCTAGTAAACAGCCTTCTTTCAACTACCTGGAAGAAGATCAATTCGTATTACAAATATCTCAAGCTAAATGCCACACCCCCTATCTCTTGAATAAGGTGTGAGAATTTCCAATGCTTTTTCTTCAGTGGGACAAAAGGCTTGATAGGTAAGAAGATTCACAATGCTGTTGATAGACCAATCTTTAAAGGAGAAATGTCCATTCTGGAGTCATGCAAAAAAGAAAGTACACCCTATATGGTTATTACATATCAGGACATAGTAAAAATCATCTGGCCCTTAGAAAGTAGGTAAATGCAATCTTAGATTAACAACACTACATGACATATTATACCATGCCATCATTTATTTTACAAAATGGAGAAGCCATGTGTGAAAAACTAAGTACACTCAGGGGTGGGCTGCTGGGGGTTCGGGTGAACCTTTAGCTAAGATTCTGTGCAGTTTGGAGAATCCCCAAATCCCACTCCTGGCTGGCTCTGCCCACCCTACCCTGCCCAGGAGTCCCCATGTGGCCTGTTTTGGATGCAGGTAAGTGCAGGGCGTGTGCAGAGGCTTGGTGAGGGCAAAAAACGGGCCTACTGGACGTTCAGGAAGGTGTTTCTGGCCTCCAGAAGCCTCCAGAGCCTGGGGAGGCTGTTTTTGCCCTCCCGGAGGCTTGAAGAAAGACTTTGGAGCCCAGGGAGGGCAAAAACACCCTCCCCAGGCTGTGGTGCAGGTGGCCAACTAGGCCATGACCACGCCCACCCAGCAACTGGCCAAAGAACCCCTTACTAAAATTTTTGAAGCCCACCCCTGAGTACATGCTTACTGCTTCAAGAGGTATGAAGAGGCTAAATAGCAGCCAGATGCTACTAATCAAGTGCCCTTGATCAACTGACCATCAGCAAGTGTGACTACTTCTATAAAAGCCAAAGTTTTAGGAGTTTGCTGGTCTCTAGTATTGAGGTTTGTGTTAACAGAATGCCAAAACAGAAAGACATCAGCAATGATCTTAGAGAAGCATCTGTTGCTCTCCATCAACCTGGGAAGAGTTATAAGGCCATTCTTAAACAATTTAAAGTCCACCATTCTATAGTGAGGAAGATTATTCACAAGTGGAAAATATTCAAGGCAATTGCCAATCTTCTCAGAAGTGGATGTCCCAGCAAATTCACCCCAAGGTCAGTCTGTGCAATGCCCAGAGAAATTGCAAAAAAAAAAAATCTAAGTTACATCTCAAGCTTTACAGGCCTCAGTTAGCATGTTAAAAGTTAAATTTCATGACAGTACAATTAGAAAAAGACTGAACAAGTATGGTTTGTCTGGAAGGGTTGCCAGGATAAAGACTCTTGTCTCTAAAAAGAACATGGCAGCATGGCTTAGGTTTGCAAAGTTGCATCTGAACAAATCACAAAACTTCTGGAACACATCTATCCTTTGGATAGATGAGATCAATATGGAGATGTTTGGCCATAATGCACAGTGCCACATTTGGTGAAAACCAAAGAGTATATCAGCACAAACCTCTGATACTAACCATCAAGCATGGGGTTTTGCAGCCACAGGACCTGGGCACCTTGCAATTATTGAATCAACTATGAACTCATCTGTATACCAAAGTATTCTAGAGTCAAATGTGAGGCCATCTATCCAACAGTTAAAACTTGGCCAACATTGGGCCACGTAACTGGACAACGATCCCAAACACACCAGCAAATCTACAATAGAACGACTAAAAAGAAAAGAATCAAGGTGTTGCAATGACCCAATCAAAGTCCAGACATCAACCCAATTGAATGCTGTGTCAGGACCTCAAGAGAGCTGTGCGTAAACTAATGCTCACAAACCTCAATGAACTGAACCAATGTTGTAAAGAAGAGCAGGCCAAACATCTTCCATAACAATATGAGAGGCTGATAAAGTCATACAGAAAATGATTAATGATCAAGTTATTGCTGCTAAGATGTTGAATCATAAGGTGTACTTAGTTTTTCACACATGGCTTCTCCATTTTGGCTTTTTGTAAAAAAAAATATGACATGGTGTAATATGTCATGTGTTGTTCATCTGAAGTTGTACTTACCTATTTTTAAGAACTGCTAAAGACCAGATGATTTTTACTATGTCCTGATACATCATAGAACTCAGAGGGTGTGCTTTCTTTTTCACCTGACTATAACTAACATCACTGATGAGAGGTGAATACTCTCCAAAAAAGGCCAAGATTTAGGCCAACAATACTATAATTCACTCCTGTTAATTGTCCATTTATTCCTTGCATCTGGACGGAAAAGCGCTAGTGTGAAGTTTATTTCTCCTCCTGCTGCCACTTACCGGCAGGGCAGGCTTATTTTTATTTTATTTATTTGTATCCCGCCTTTACCATTTTTACAAATAGGCAATGAATATGTCCAGCACACTTTCCTCCTATTTTCCCCACAACAACAACCCTGTAAGGTGAGTTGGGCTAAGAGAGAGTGACTGGCCCAAAGTCACCCAGCTGGCTTTCATGGTTAAGGTGGGATGTGAACTCACCATTTCCCACTTTCTAGCCTGGTGCCTTAACCACTAGACCAAATTGGATGTCTATGATTTCTTATATCTATCTTTTATGATCTTTCTGTAGCATGAACAAGGATATGTCAATTCAGAAACCCCGGGAGCTCCGAACAGATAGCATATTTAGCCCACACAACCACATTGAGCTGCTGAACCTTCATGCACAGTTTGCCAGACGTTGTACGTATCCAGGAAAGAGAAGTTCTCATACAGGATAGGTCGGCAGCAAGGTTGAGAAAGAAAATTCCTATTCCGAGGCCCCAAAATACCATTCTGCATGATGTAACTCAGGACTACATCATAGTTAGTTTGGGTACATGACCCACTGCAATAATTGAGCGAAACAACCTCATCAGTTTCATAGCCAAGCCCCAGATTCCGCACGAGGACTGAGCGGCTATGTTTGCGACAAGGACCGTTTGCAGACCTTCTGAAGTTTTTCCTGGCATTGCCTGAGCGTGATGGGGAACGTTCAGCCCTGAGAAATTCTGATGCGCTCAGGTCTCGCATGGTGATGTTTTTCCCTGGAAGAAAAAAGGAAGAGGGGTCTTAATTCTTCCTCCCAAGGAGAAAAGAATAATACAGGATGAGTGTTCCTAAGACGAAAAAGGGCATAAATCTGGAAGAAAATACATTCCTCAACCCATACGATCATCTGAGAGAAAGGAAGTCTCAAAAATCCAATTGACTTGGATCAAGAATTCAAATGAAGCACCCTCCTCCCCAAGCCCCTTTCCCTGGAAAAATGCCAGGTCCCTACCATTCTGGTGGTTCAATGCAGCCAGAGATGGTGTTTCCATGTTGTTTTTTTCCATAGAGGCAGAGCTGGCAGAGCCCAGGCTTCCCGAAGCTGCTCTCAATGTCTGTGGACTTGCCATGACTGTCCCAGCAAACAGTGATAGTATAGTTAAGGTACTCCACAAACCCTGCTCCTAAGATAAAACAGGAGGATATATAACAAATATGCCAATTAGGATACAAATAAAGTGGAAGATAAGAAAGCAAGATTTGCTAAATGAAGAGCTATTTTACATATGATCAGTGATGAAATGCGAAATTTGTTACTACCGGTTCTGTGGGCGTGGCTTGGTGGGGGATAATGTGACTGGGTGGGCATGGCCAACTTTTTTTTTTTTACTTTTAAAAGCATTTTTTCGGCCGAAGAAAACATGCTTTTAACAGTAAAAAAAAAAAAAGCCTCTGATGATTGTATGGCTCAGCTGGGCAAAGGGTGGCCAGGGATTTTTGTTACCGGTTCTCCAAACCACCCGCCACCATCGATATCGGATTAGGCGATCCTGTCCAAACGGGGAGCATTTCACCCCTGCATATGATGATCCTCCCACATGACATCACATGGCTGCTGTGGTCAGGATGGCCTTTGCCCAGCTCCACTGGTGCATCAGTAATGGCCCTATGTGAACTGGGAAGGTCTTGCAACAATAATTCATACTATGATTACTACCCAGCTGGGCTACTGCAAGTGCAGTAGGGTTACCTTTAAAGACCGCTTTGCAAATGCAGTTGGTACAAAATGCTGCAGCTTGCTTCTTATTTGGCACTAGTTGCCAGAAGGATATAGTATCTAGGATGCAAGCCTTGCATTGGCTCAGCTACAATCTGAAATCCTGGTTTTGACCAATAAAAATATATGGAACTAAGATATCTTTAGAACCACCTCCTCCAGCTAAAATAAAACCATGACATGCACATCCCAAGAGAAATTGCTTGTGATCTCCTGCTTATGTGAAGTTGGGCGACTGCCTTAGTTATCCATCATAGCCCCCATGCTATGGAACAAACTTTCCTTTCAAGTCTGATGTGCTCTAATATTGATGGCGTTACAGAATCAAGTTAAGACAAAGCTGTTTTGCAGCTTTTTTAAATAAAACTTAGTTAAGATGATACCATCTTTTGAATGTGCTTTTTGTGTATTGTTCCATTTATAGCCTGCCTTGTTGATTGTCTTTGAATTTTAACCAGTTGCACCATGAATATTTTATTTCTTACCATGGATGCTTTATGTTTGTTATATTGTTGAGAATCTTATGATTGTGGAAGTATAGAACTGAAATGTAGTAAATACAGTCCTTCCATGGTGTAAAATATGTGTCAAATGATCATAGGTAAATATCAGAAAGAAAAGGAATCTTTTTCACTTCAAGCATATCCAGTGAGAAAATCATGCAAATGCGGAAGCCCATCTGAATTCATCACACAAATCAGTATGTGCCAGGCTGTATATTTTGGACTATATAGAAATGATATTCATATTAAAAATGACCGTCTCAAGTGTGAAATTCGGAGCTTTGTCTGCCAGAAATGAACCAAAGAAACCAAAACAGAAATTAAAAATTAAAGGATAGAGAGCAAACACAAGTAGGTTTAGCTAGGGAAAAATTTTATAAATGGTTAGAAAAGAGGAAACTATAACCCACATTAGATGAGGAATGGTATTTAATGAGAAACTTATATTATATAGGATAAGTGAGGTTGGATAGACCTAATTGATGTATTAAGGTATATAAGCTGTTCTGTCTTCTCCAGAATATAATATAGTTATAATACCGAATATTTGTTTATTAAGGTACTATATGGAAATATGTTTGTTTATTGTTGTATTGTTCTTTGTGTGTCATTTTATGTTGTGTTGCCTTTTCTTTTTAACCGAAATGTAAATAAAGATTATTTAAAAAAACAAACAAACAAACAAACAAACAAAGAAACCAAAACAGCTGGCCCAATATACTGAAAACAAAAGTGAAGTGAAAGAAACTCTTCCATCTTTCATATATTGAATTGACATCTTTCATAAACAAAGCCTCTGTAACTTTCCACTGTTTCTGGAACTAATGCCCTGATGTCAAGAACATTCCTTGTCATTGACTAACTCACCCTGAATCGTGCTTGTTGGATAGGCAAACTCCTGCAGGAAGAGGGAGGTCTGTCTAATCTGTGCTTTGACCCGTCAACTCTCCACTCCATCCTACCTAAAATACAAAGACACAGATCAGGAACCCAGTTCCATTTCTCTGAATGTGAAGATTAGTTTTCATTCTTGCAAGCTTCTGGTCCAGTTATGGCCCCTGCCTGTTGTAGCTCTATGAGAAGTCCTTCCTGGGCTACAAAATTCTTTCAATAAGTGTCTCCATCCAATTAAATAAAGGTGCTGAAGAAACTCCTAATTAGATACCTTTTTGTTTGTGACTGGCCTGGCAAAGGTATATATTGCAATTTTTTAAATTAAATCTCCTTGCAATTGGCCTGCTACATTAATAGAATGTTATATGGATATTTCCTTGGTTCCATCCTAATGTATCTGTAACTGCCAGTAAATTTTTAAAAAGCAAATCCTCTAATGTTAGCTAAGAATAGCAATACCAAATTAAACATAAATTTTGCAAAAGAATACAAACATTATCGTTCATTGTATTATGTTATTCCCAACTGCATCCAAAAATATTTCGTGAAATAATCATAGAACCTCCCTGACCTGGAGAACAGGAACCTCTGAAGTATCTGTCAGGTTTACACTCATGACAGAATACCTATTAATATTTTTATATTTAAAAGTGCTTCACCTAGACTTGGAACAGAATATGCTCATAGAAAAGTCTTACATTAAAATTTTTCGCATGGGGAACTATTGTGGTGTGGATGATCTCAGAAATCCACTTTCCTTAAAAACAGTTCTATCTAACTTTCATCTACAAGAATTTTGGATTATAAACTAAGGGTGCAAAGAATGGATTTCTTGGAGCAACATCACCAGTGGTTCCTTTTATCATGCTCAGAATGCCCAAAGCAGGTGAACTTTTTCATTTTGGGGTTTTTTTAAGGGTAAAATTGGAGCCCTAAGACCTGCAAATATTTAAATAATCCATTTCATTCCTTAAAACTCCTTTGATACTCCATCAAAATAAACCTTAGATCACTTACTTTTGAAAAGCCAAGCCTGGTGCAGACCTTGAACTCATAGGAATGTCTTTAAGCAATTTAATTGTTTTAGATCTATTTTTTTATCCCAATGGGCATACAGAACTGGGATAAATATAATTACATACAAAAATATGCCAATCAAAGAAAAATCTGATCCATCCATTCAACACCCTTTTGTGTATAACTGTATTGTAATATAATCTTTTAGTTTTTACTGTCAGCTATTTTTACCCACTCAATACTCATGGATATTTTTTTATGTTTGCACTGTTTCTATCAGACCCTTTCCAGCTGCCTATTAAAAATGGCACTGCCATGTTGAATGAAGCACCAGGAACCTAGGTGGAATCCTCCTGCCCTCACACTGTCTTCTGACATGCAATTACAAAGAGCAACTCTTTGTGAACTCTCCATCTCTCCATTCAGTTCTCCAAAGAGTCTTGAGTAGTAGCTGATACTAACAAAAGATGCTAAACCTTTGTGTCACATCCTGGTTTAATTTTAGACACCTTGGGCAAGCAGAGATGTGCCTAGCTGGACAAGATTTCTTTTCCTACAGTGCAGGGCTGGGAAGCCTCCTGAACAATCACTCCCAAGATCCCTCACCAATGGTATTCTGGTTGAGACTTTTGGGAGTATCGGATCAGATATTTGGGATCCTATCTTGAGATTGTAGAAGGTTTGTATTTTTCTCCCACAAGGTGGCAACACAGAACCAGTTTTTTCTCCCTACCGCTTTCTTTGGCCATACAAGAAAGATTCCTTCTCACTATTTCCCAAGGACTGATCGAGTTCCTGGACCTGACTTTTCAGAAAAGAATACAGAGGAGTCCAAATTCCTTCAGAGAGCATCAAGAACCGAACAGTTCAACCTGAACTACATATATTCTCTTTTATTGCAGACACACATTAATGGCTTGGAATGTCTTTATATTTTTTTGAGGAGACCTACAGATAAAGCTGGAACATGACCATTGAAGTAAAAACAAGGATACAGAAAGCTCAAACAGCATTCTTCAAAATGAAAAAGGTCTTCAGCAGTCACGACACAAGCCTAAGATTGAAAAGCAGGCTTGTCAGATGTTACATCTTTTCTATCCTGCCCTACGGAGTGGAGAGTTGGTCTCTGACAGAAAGTCACTTGAAGAGTCTAGAAGCATTTGAAATGTGAATTTATGGGCGGCTGTTATGTATACGTTGGGTTGACAAAATCAGAAATGAGGTGGTGATAAGCCGCCTGGGAAAGCCAAAGGAAATAATCAAAACCATAAAAAAGGGACAGTTAGAATATTTTGGACATGTGATGCGACACCCAGAAAAATATGGCATACTTCACTTAATCCTTCAAGGAAAGATTGAAGGCAAACGAGGTCCAGGCAGAAGAAAATATGGCTTCAAAATCTAAGGGACTGGTTTGGACAAAACTCAATAGCACTTTTGAGGTTGTTGATAAAAATAGGATCTCCAACATGATCACTAACGTCTGATGACAGATATGGCACAAGAAGAAGAAGACAGATAAAGCCACTTTCTGAAGAACAAGCACTTCTAACCTTTCTAAGTTGTTTTGGTCTTTCTTGGAATCTGCCAGTGACTATGCAAGGAAAGTAACATATTTTCAGAAACACCCAGTAAATATGGTCCATTTAATTTTTCCTCTTTCACCTTTCATGTAGGGCCAGGTTTCTTTTATCAGGTTTCTTTTATCTGCCATTCAGAAATGATAAAATAAAGTTTTGTTGTTTTCAATCCCAGCCATACAAAAATGAATATATTGCTGACATCTGCTTCCACATCTCATAAATCGATACAGAAGTCATCAACTTCTGCATCAACTTCTGGATAATGACACTTTTCCTTTCCCAAGACCTTTGAGTGGGAAAGCTGTGCCTTCTTCTAGTGTTATGGCAAAGCTGCTAGGCCTTAATTTCATTTATCTGCATTATGGCAAGATCTGAAACTGAATTGACAAAAGAGGTTAGAACCAGGGGATATATGAGAGAAAAGCAACATGCAGAAATAGCTGGGCCTATTCATTGAGGAGTTTGCTGCAAACCTGACTGGAAAGACCTAAATAACCCCTTAGGTTCATTCCTAAAAGTTGACACTTGGCATGCTAACACATGCAAAGTCGATGTCAGATCGCTCCTGTTCCGTTGCTGTAATTTGTGTCATTAACTGGTTATTTCACTGTATTCATAAATGAAAAATGTTTATAGAGTAGGTTTTGTAAAAATCAAACAGTTCAAGCACTCAAAACCTCTTTTTTTTTTCCCACAGGCAATTCAGCAAACAGGTCAAACAATGGATAATAAAGAAGAACATACTTGTCAACTGCCGACAGTCTGAATGGCTATTTCTGAGTGACTTCAAAGCAGTTTACCAATAAGATGCCTCAGGTTCCACTTGGATTTTGATGTACTAGAGCAAAAGAAAAATATTATCCTGTTGAATGCCTAGAAATACTAGAACAAGTGTTCACAATAAGGCGGCCTGTTGTCAAATTGTTGAAGGAAGCTCATTTGATGTTTACTTTCCAAAACAAAGGGATGTTGGCAACAAAGAATGTTTTAATCTGGTAGATTGCCAGCATATTCACCATCCAGCACAACCTGCTCACCTTTAGAAAGCATCAGTGATATATAATATACCGTATGTGATATCTCTAGTGGCTAGAAACACAAGACAATGTCATAAAATTAGAGACGTCAATCTAGAGACAAGTGTAGATGGAGCAGCCCAACCTTTTATAAATCCCCCCCTCCCCAGTAGCAGCAAACGTGAGGAAATTAGACAGGCAGGAACTGCATCAAAAATTGCAACCTTATGTTGCAATTCCCACATTCCCCTCAACTGCAAATAATCAGCAGAGAGGTGCCGCTAAAATCAGTATTAGAGAGAAAAGGAAAAGTGGGCCAGCTTACTCCAGTGATGGTGGGAATTGGGCAAAGGGGCAGAATATACAGTGCAACCACTGGCGTATTTACTCAGAAGTAAATGTTTAAGAAGAAGTAAGTATTTATGAATTGCACTCTTAATTCTTAAAGAACACCAGCATCAATAAAATGTGTGGAACTTCCAGACACTCTTTTGGATCTTAGTAGAACACAAAGGACAAATTAGATATAGTCCAGCTTGATTGATCCCGGGCTGAAAGCCTCAACAGAAGTCCCAGAAATAAAAGAGGACTGTTGAGCAGATTCCTGAGCATTAGGAAAGGAAAAAGCCACCCATGAGTTGGGATCAAGGACAAGATCGCGAGAATCTTTTTCACACAGACTGCCCCTCTTTCCAGCCACCCACCAGACCTCCCCACTCCCCACCGTTGATTCCCTGCTTCCCTGCCTGGACAACTAGGACTTTTGGAAGCCACGAGGCAGACCGGATCGGAGCAAGAAGCCCGGGATCGAGGCAACCGGGAGAGTGAGCAGGGGTTCTGAGCCACTCTCTGGAGAATAAATGCGCTTTTAAGCACACATCCGTGGGAGGCAACAACGTTGCTCCTCCCTACACCCGAAGATCTTCCAAAGTAGATCTGCTTACACAAATACATTCGCCCGCCACCCTCATTTGCCCCGATCTCTCCTCCCCCAACAACCCCCCCTCCCTTCCGCCGGTTTGGAAGGCGCTCACACACTTTCCAAGCCCGCCCCACTCACCGTGCGCTCCGTCTCGACAGATCGGGCGCCTTCTGCTGCGCGCGGCTCTCCGGGGACCATGCTCCGAGAATCCGGGCCGTGAAGCGCCTCCTTCTGGGTACCGGCCCTTCCAGGGCATCGAATTCGCTCCCTGTACCGGAGAGATACAGTCGCCGTGGGCCAGGTTAGCGCTCCAGAGACGTCCTCGCCAGAAGAGCTGAGGAGAGGGACCCTTAACTCTTTCTCCTCGATTTGGGACGGAGCCCGGAATAGGGGCAGGCGCGCAGGCACGCACACCCAACCTGTTTTCCCGCCAGGGACTCAATGCGGCCCGCTTTTACTCTTACCTCCCGGCGACGTCAGCTCCTGCGTTCAGCCGGCCCCGGGGGCCATGGCCCGGTTTTCCCGGGATCGTTCCACTAAGTATCCGACCTTCACGTCGCCAGCATGGCCAGGAGGTGCCCGGCGCGCTCAGCGCCCTCCTGTGGGGAAAAGTTCGGGTTAAGGTCCCGGACAGAAGCGGCAGGGCGGCCCCGATCCGCGGACTCCCATCCACCCCGGCACCGCGCTCAACCCGCGCAGTAAGGAAATCCGCCAAGGGGGCGCGCAGCCCGCGGGACTCGGACTCGTGACCGGCAGAACTCCAGTCCAGGCGGCCTCTGGGAGGGAGAAAAGGACCGGCTCCATCTCAGCGCCTAGCTGAGTCTGGTGTCAAATTCCAGGCTCAGCTGTCACCTGATCCCCAGAGCGGGGCGGAGCGGGTTAGTCCCGACGAAGAGAGAGAGGGAGAGAGAGAGAGAGATCCACGGAAAGGATGGGGAAGGAGCCCCCCGCCATCCCCTTCTCCTGGGGCCAAGGGAATTTAGGAGCAGACGTCGCCGATTGACGCCACCTGTGCGCCGAGCGCTCGGGCATCTTGTATAGTCGAGCACTTTTACACTGGAAACGAGGGGAGCCCCCTGGAAGCTCCCAGGAAATAAGAATGCTGACGAGGCCATTTGGCAGGATTAAAACCCAGCACAAATTCGGCTCAAATACATTAAGGAATGGCTCCGGGTTAAATGACAGGGGATAGCAATAGCAGAGATTGGAAGGAAGGACCTTTGTTTTCTCATGGTCCTTCTGGTCCTAATACTCACCTCACTGAGCCCTGCTGCACCAGACGAAGAACACATGTGCAAGTAAGCAGAGGTCACTTGCTGGGTGATCACAGTAGCAGAAATTGTCTATTCATTGCCTTGGGCAACCCTAAAGGTACCAGTCTTGACAGTCTTTTTGTCCAAAGAGGAGAGAGTGACTAGGAAGTTCTTCACAAGAAGAGAGAGAGAAAAATCCAGATAAATGAATAGAAACAGTGGTCATTTCTATTGGAATCACTACTTTTAGGGGAGATATAAAGTAACGCAGCAATGATGAACATGAGTCAAATATGGAAAAGCAAGGACATCAGCCTGGCAATCAAATGTAGGTTAATTCATTGTGTTCTCCGTAACTTCCTATGGTTGTGAAATTTGCACCTTAAAAAAAGCAAGACAGGATGAAAATCTGTTTGAGTTATGGTGATGGAAAAGGCTCTTGTGTATTCCTTGGACAGCAAAGGTGACTAACAAGCAAATACTAGAGCACGTAACACCAGACATGTCACGCAAAGGTAAAAATCACAAAGCTGTGATTTTTGGCTCACTTACTTTGGCCATGTCATGCAAGGAAATTCACTGGGGAAAGCAATTACACTTGGAAGAATTAGTGGTAAAAGGAAACTAGGCCATCAAAGAACACAGCTGAACATCATTAAAGTTGACACCAGCCAGAGCATAGAAAAACTCAAAGAATAGTCAAGATTGGAAGAAATAAAGAGACCTGGCCCACAGAATCACCAAGAGTCCGACTCAACTGAACAGATAACATCATCATCAGAATATCACAGGTTCACTGACAAACTCTCAGCAACAGTTCTCAGACACTAGCTTAGTAGTCTTGAATAAAACTCACAGATCTGAGCTTGAAGATTCTTGGACATACAATATGATCTAGCACAGGATGCTCAAACTCAAGGCCTGGGGGCTGGATCCAGCCCACGGTGTACTTAGATCTGTCCCGTGAGGCTGCTCTGGAAACAGCGAAGGACTGGCCCGCAGTGCTTCTCCCAGCAAAAATGGGCTCCCGAGCTCTGTTTTCAGCTGCCATCGCCTCCTGCAACCCTCTGCCAGTGAAAACACACATGGCCCTTTTTTTCACTGGCAGAGGGTTGTAGGAGGCTGGCAGCCGAAAATGGAGCTCAGGAGCCTGTTTTCGCTGGTAGAGTGCTCGGGCCACCAGTGGTGCCCTCAACAGGAGTGATGTCGAGCTGACCATGTCCACCCTGGCCATGCACCCCTCCCACCCCCCGAGGTCAAACACAACCCTGATGTGGCCCTCAATGAAATCGAGTTTGACACCCCTGATCTAGCACAGTGTTTTTCAAATTTGGCAACTTTCAGATGTCTGAGTTTCAACTCCTAGAATTCTCCAGTCAGCATGCTACCTGGAGAATTCTGGTAATTGAAGCCCACCAGTCTTAAAGTTGCCAAGTTTGAGAAACATTGATAGCACAAATAAATTGGAAATTTTATTGCATTCTTTAAGTTACTTAAATAATTTATTGGCTTTTGTCAGCCTGAAAATGCAGTTCATTCTTATCTTACAATAGATTAATTCCACTTTTTTTCCTGCCACCCTTCCCACAATTCTGCCTTGCACTTTTTGGTCTTGAAACTGAGATTTTGTTCATTATTGATATAATTGACATTTCTTGACAGAAACTGGCTGCCAGTGTTGACTCCCAGACTGTTGCTAAGAGTTCACAGCAATTGTTGCCCCTCTGAAAGTTCTGGTAACTTAACAGCTGGTGAAATGGACTAATTCCTTACACTATTCTTGGTCCATATGATTATGGATGTGTTCATCTCTAACAAGGTGTCGTGTGTTATCTTAATGATGCTACTCTTCCATCCTCTACATTTTCTTGGCAGAACCTCTGCAGCAGGGGTGAAATGCTACTGGTTTGGACCAGTTCGGCTGAACCAGTAGTGATGGTGGCAGGTGGTTCAGAGAAACGGTAATGACAGCAGCACAAGGCTCCGCCCACCCACCCGGTTGTCGTTACTTCCTGGTTTTAACCAGAAAGTAACCTGTTTTTTACCCTCTGCATATGCGCACAAGTGGAGCGTAAGTAGGGAAAGTAAGTAGATTTCACCCCTGCTCTGCGGTTCTTATTTTCAAGTTCTCAGATGTAGAAGACATAAACATCTGATACAAACTGAAGAAAAATTAGGAAATTGTGCATTACCATGCCACAGTGCAATCCTGGCCTTTTGTATTTGCATCCTGGTGTTAGACATGGTGTATTTCAACATCTTGACACACATTTAGTCATTTATTCCTCCTCATCCCCCTTGTAAATGCCTATTGTTTAGGGAATTCTGTGTTTAGGAAATTCTTACAAATATCTGAGACTAGGTGGAGATTTATTTGCATCTATTTGCATCTATTCCTATCCATTCAAAGTACCCTCATTTAGCTGACTTTTTTCTAGAGTAAGATGAATATAAAATAATTATTTCACTTTAATTTTAGAATTACTTAGAAAATTTATCTTTTACCAGTGACGTGTACCAGTGATCTTTCCAGGATAAAAAGATATTTCCAGGATGTATCATGT